TTCCAACAGAAACTGAACAGGCAGATTCGAAGGATTTTTTCTTTGGAAATGTTATTTTATATACAATTAAATCAAGTTATTTCGGTAAAACTAATGAAAAATGTAACGACAACAAAATATTTAAAATAATATTAAAATAAAAATGTTTTTTTTAATATTTTCAAATATTATTTTTTAGAATATATTAGGCCCTCACAGAGGGCCTAGAGGGCCCTGACGGCTCGCCACTGTTCTATTTGTGAAAATACAAAAAAGGGAGATTTTGCTGCTTTTTTCGCATCTAGACCACATTAGACCAGGTCCTGATCTAAAACCACTATACCTACACTCATCTAATCTGGACTGGATTATCCCAGAGAGGCTATTCTTTATAACACAGTTTTAGATTTGTGAAACCTTTATTCTATTTGTGAAAATACAAAAAAGGGAGATTTCGCTGCTTTTTTCACAACTAGACCACAGTGGACCGGGTCCTGATATATTAACTAGGTAAAGCACTCTTCCAATTGTTCTTTCTAAATAAATAGGAAAGACTGCGGCGGAACTGTCCACAGAGTGCCTGCAGACAGACCCCATAGGCAAAGTTTGCGGGGAGGCATTGTCTAGTGGCCAAGCTATGTCACTACACATTGACTCAAAATAGGTAAATTAAATGAGTTCAATAAATAAATCTGGATTCTGTTAGGTTAGGTTTTGTAGGCTACAAAAAAAAATGCCTAATACATTTGTTTTGCCATGCACGAAAGACGTGTGTGAGAGAGAGAGCGCAGCAGCGCACCCGCCGTGGTGTTTTATTATGATGACATATTAACCTAACACTGTGGTGCTTTTTGTGTGCATAACATCGTTATTTTATTCCCCCTGGTATCTATTCATTTTAATAACAATTGTAGCTACACAAAAACCTTGTAACTTGTAAGTGCGCCGGATTAGATTTCCCAGCGCAACAAGTTGTATTTTTTTAGTACACAGGAAATATTGGTGAGTATTTTTTCCAGAGTAATTACTATTTTGCTCTGAAATAGTGATATTTAATCATTTTGGAGTGTATTTATTACTCATAGCTTCTAGAGTGCGATCAAAAATGCAGAGTCAATTCTATTGGAGTCAAACCATGACCACGCTGTAACGGAGGTGATCTCTGGGGCCGTAGATCTCGGTCTCTTATATTAGCTTCATTATTGGCGAAGTATACTACTTTGTTCCACGCTAAAACATTGCAGGAAGCATGTGAATCTATGTCATTTATGCATCTATTTGTCACGATCTGTCTATGTTTTAGTTTGTCTGTCTCTGTTTCCTGTTGTAGTTTGAAAAGTGTTCCCCCTCCCGTCTTATCTGTTGCTGGTGATTGTGTTCACCTGGTGCCCTGTGTTTCTCCTCCCTCCTCACCTGTGTCTTGTTGGTTTGATTAGTCCTGTGTGTATTTAGGTTCTGTTTTCCTGTTAGTGTGTGTGTGATCCTTGTTGCTGGTGACTGTGTTCACGTGAGACAGTCATATTGAGGCTGTGTATCATGAACCACAGCGATGAATAAATGCCCACACCGGGTTGTATTTTAACTCTCTGCCTCTGCCTCCTTGCTTGGTCGGGCCGCTCAATGGTCAGCTTCACACGCCCACTCGTGTTACTTAAGCACTTTGGTTTATTGACCTTTTTTATTATAAAGATCATTATGGTTCATTTATTCTATTCTGAGTAAAATTACCTTCTAGTGGGAGTAAAATTACCTTCTATTTGGAGTAAAATGACATTCGATTGGGAGTAAAATGACCTTCTAGTTGGAGTGAAATGACGTTCGATTGGGAGTAAAATTACCTTCTATTATGACTAAAAATGGCAGTAGAATTGTTTTTAATATACACTACATAGAGTAAATAACCATTAAGTAGAGTCAAATCTAAGCACATAATAGAGTAAAATGAACTCTAAAAATACAACTCTGAACAAAGAGTACATTTTACTCTATATAGGTTGGGACCAAATGTAATATTTTTAGAGTAACATTTTCTTCAATTTGAGTCAATTTTACTCAGAGAAATTTACTGTGATTGGGCAGTGATGCGAATAAACAGATTGTTTTGTCCAGTATTTTGAGTGTTTGTTTGTACAATGACTCCAGTGGTTTTTATTGGGGAAATATTTTCCAAGGCCCATAACTTTGACCCAGTTTATCAGTTCTTACTCTCCTGACTGAGCACACACACCTGTAACCTTGGCTGCTTTGCTCTCAGTGTTTTGTCTCCCTGTTCCTGCCTGTTGGCGTCAGCTGATAGAGGTGTTATGATTCTATCTTGTTATGCACAATGTTGATTATTCTCTCTGAACTAGCTAAATACATGGGTCTGGGGTTCTTCAGAATTGACGTGGCAACTCTACCGTGCAGTCAGAACCTCTGGCTCTTGGACTTGTTTTGTGAATTCTCCGGCCGAAGCTCCAAAATAAACCATCAGTGTTTGACATCAAAACTCCAGCTCTCCCTGTGTCTCCTTTTGAGTCGGTGACTCCTCCTGCATTGCTACACAGAAATTTCCCCCACAAATTGGCGTTGTCGGCAGGATACCAACAAATCTTCAGAACCGATAAGTGTAATTTCAAATCCACATTTGGACATTGCCTTACCAGAATCTGTGATTGACGGTATCCTAAAATTATCTGTGAAGCTGAGCGTCTGTGTTTCGTTTTTGGTTAATGAACATTTGGGGATAAAAAACCCAGGGGATCAGTGTCTGGGGACTTTGTCCTGGCTGATTTCCTCTGTGTATGCTGCTAGGGACGGAAGTGCCATACAAGCATGCACAGCTCATGTTTAGAGAAACCTTAATGAAGGGCATCAGTAAAGTGGAACTTCTGTATGAAAGTAAAGATTTGTATTGGACAAATTGCCGAATTCTCGGGGTTTCAGCGGCCAACACTAGCAGTTAGGAACAAGCAGCCAGAGATATTACCACTATCACCTCTATAAACACGGCTCCAGCTGCAGCTCGGGGTGTGTGTGTAAATACACGGGGAAAAACAAACTTAGCGGGAGTATTTACGTGTTCGGTGTAATGACGTACAACGGCCTCGACAACTTCTGTAGTCCTATTCAGCCACTTGTTAACAACCATCTTTTTTCAGACACGTAAACTCTTAAAAAATCAGTGGGGTCACTGCTGATGTATTTAATGTCGTAGAACAAAACGTGATCCGTCTCTTCAATTTGTGTCAACCACAGACCTTATTTCCGAGCTATTTTCCAAAATCTATCCTATGGAGAAATTGCATTGCTTTTTGGCGAAGGAACCGGAAGTGGTAAAATTCTAACTTACTTCCGGGTTTTAGGACTGTGCTACTCTATAAAGCTTCTTCACCATTGTTCCTACTCTTCCTGTTTAACATTTCACTTTCAAGTTTTCAACAGTCATTGCAAAGCATTTGAGCTGTAACAATTGTGATTCAAATCATTTCACTTTTCTGCATTTCTCCGCTAAGTTCACCAACACATTTACTTGTTTTTTGTAGTTAAAAGCTGCTACAGAGACTGTAAAAAAATTAACGCATTTTAATCGCACTTATTTTTGCACCGCGGAACGTTTCTCACTGGATGAGTTTCAGGCGTACCGATTATACTGGAGCACCAACTAACGTTCATGACTTCAGACAACAACAAACCACAGTGAACAACAGTGGGAAATGTTGTTTTAAAAAACGGACGGATGGAAGCGTCGATAAGAGCACGGTTGTGTGCAAATTATGCAAAAAGGAATTCGCATATCACCGCAGCACATCAAGCCTCAAGTATCACCTCAATGCAAAACATATAGCAGCTAGCGTGGAAGCTAGCGTGGACGTTAGCCTCTTTTATCGCGTTCACACCAAAAAGAGCCGGTACTAAAATTAGTTAATGAGAACCTTTTTACCACCACGAAAGTCCCTGCTAGAGAGCAGAGAGCTGCTAGAGAGCAGGGACTTTCGTGCGGCTCTCTTGTGAGAAAAGAGCTATATTTCTGATTGGCTGGGCGGATTGCAAACCACGCCCCGTAAAACTCCCAAAAAGTTTTGTGAAGCCGCCATTTATTATCCTCGCATTAGCATTATTAGCATTAGCCCAGCGCAGAAACGCAGAGAGACTAACTTATGGCAACACAAAATAAAACATGGGAGCGGTGGAGATGAGGAGGTGTCGGCGTTCTGGCGATTTACTCGGAAGGCTGCTGGGACTCCCAGCAGCTTCTACTGAAGCCAGTCCCCAACTCCGGGGACTTCCGGCCGGGGACTTTGGGCGGCAGTATACGCCGTGAAGTGGTTTGCGGCCTGCCAGTAAACCCAAAGCAGAAGAAGAAGAAGTGACGTCAGCGGCTTCATTTGCCTAATCCTCCCCCAGGTTCAAAGAGTTCTCATGAACTAAGTTCTCATGAACCTTTGTGGGAAAAGTACTGCGGTGTGAATGCGCCTAATGGTATACTAAAATCCATGTGAAAAAAATTGCTTCTCACTGTTCTCAGGTCAAATATTTACATGTGATTAAAAATGCGATTAATTTCGATTAATTAATTACAAAGCCTCTAATTAATTAGATTAATTTTTTTAATCGAGTCCCGGCCCTAATAAATACATGATAATAATAAACACTATAAACAGCAAGAAAATAAATGTTAAACTATTAAATAATATAAAGATATATATATATAGCTCCAACAAAGATCATTCAACTAATAACATATTCAGCTTTTTCTGCATTTTCAGCTAAATTCAGCAACAAATGTTCACAGTTTACAGCATTTGCACGCATTTTCTGCAGGAAATGCATTTTTTAGTTATTGATGCATTAAAGTGTTCTCAAAACTTGTAAAGGTGCAGCTAGTTTTAATGACTTTGTATACTGCAGGGTATCTATCCATCCATCCATCTATTTATCGATATTTATATTGTAATGAAACGGCTGGCCGCTAGAGGGCAGTGGCGCTGAAAGGGGCAATTCGTCAACCGAGAAAGCGAGTTGTTCTGGGAGAAGAAGAAGAAAGATGGCCATATGTTAGCTAGCCTCTTCCTGCAGGGGCTCAACAAACGCTTCGATCTTCATCTTATTGTCTTCTGTTCCCTTTGAGCGGCACACAGCCATGACATAAATCATTTTATCGACATCGTAAAGAAATAATGACGAGAGTGTGTGTTTAAAGGGATTTCTCTAGTAGTTTTTGGAGCCTGTGTGTGTTTGTGAAGGGGGGGGGGTCTCTTCAGGTCAACTGTCAACAGTTTAACGTCAGGTGAGTTTGTAGTTTATTCCCTGCTTTTTCTACACTTTTGTTTAAAACATTCAATAGAAGAATAGGATTATGTTGTTATTTATTTGTAAACCCTGCTCGCAAGTACAACTTTGCAAACGTGTTAAATGTGTTATTAACCGTGATGAAGATCGACTGTCTGGTCCGTGCGGAGTTTTCTCTTCACTGTTAGCAAGTGTCAGTTAGGGTGGTCCCGCTGTGTGCGCGACTGCACAGCATTGTGATCATCTGTCCCACGCATTTTGCCGATGTCCCGCATTTGATTGACAGTCGCCCGTCTTAAACAAGGCTTTTTTACAAAGGTGTGTAGAAAACGAGAGGACTATCATCACCATTAGCTGTGTCAGATGTCAATCAATCAACAGAGACATTGATTAATTTATGGGCAGCCCCACACACTGCGTGTGTCAGAGTGTGCACTTGCATAGTTTGTGCAAACAATTAAACCAAAGTAAAGCATTGTTATTAATATGTTGAAACTTATAGTTTAATAGAAATGTTCTTCTTAAGGGTTAGATAGACATTATATAAACATCTAATCTAGCTCTTAAGCAACGCAGTAATATATCCCGCAAAAAAGTCCTATTTGTCCCACATGTGGCTTGTTGGCACCTGGTCACCCTAGTGTCAGTACTGTTTACATTTTTACATCAAAACTACGGAATCAACCATCATAATGTCAATATAATTTCACCTGATAATCTGATCCTGTTGCTGTCATGAAATGTCTTCTTCTGATTTTCTCCATATGTTTCTAGGTAATAATCGATGCCCAAAATGGCAAAACATGCACTTGTTGTGTTGAATATACTTCTCTGACAAAATGTAAATACAGTTGTAGAAAAATTGGTATCAAAATATCATTTAAATATCAAACAGCTCATGAGCCCCCCCCCCCTGATTATTTTAAAGACAATTGTAGGCAAAATGGAGCAATTGCAAAGAGTAAGAAGATATGTCTGGCATTGATACATGCTATACAAATGTTTTGAGGTACTCCTTTCTCTCAGTGCAGTGAGGAGCAGTCGTCATGGCAGCTCCGGTGAACATCCAGACTCCCAGTAAGAGCTGGGAGCTGAGTCTGTATGAACTCCACAGGAGCCCTCAGGTAAAGGATTACGTAAACACATATTTTCTGAAAAAAGGCATACATACATAGACAAAGCACTCAAAGGAAAACAAAAAAGGAACTAAAAATCCAATTTATACGGGAAAAAGTCACTTTTGGTGCCAGGTGAAATAAAAAACAGTGACATTTTAGGGAACCTTCCTCTAATACAGCGTTTCTCAAAGTGTGGGGCGCAGAGATGTGATAGGTGCGACGCGATGTATGGGAGATTTTTTTTTTTTTTTAAAGCTCCCATGTCACGGCCATTTCTACTGATGATTCCATTGTTGAGGTCTACGAGAATAGATTGACATTGTTCAATCAATGTTCCAAACTCACATTGGTTTCTCAAACAGCATCTCTGTGTAGTATGTGTATTCACTCTCTGTCCTACACGGCTTGTTGGAGCTCCTGCCCCCCTCCTGATACTATATTACATCATATGCTTGTTTGTTGGCTAGTGCACAGTAGGTGTCATTAATGGAAATGTACAGTATAATATAGTAATGATGCCAACTTGGTGTTACTATAGCACCGTTGAGATATTAATGCAGTTTAATTCATTAGTTTTGAGAAGTAGAATTATTGGCCAAGTTATATTTCCATTTCAGGATCCTTTTTTAACAGGACTTGCATAAAAACACAATATAACATGTGTGTGTGCAGGAGGCAATCATGGATGGGACGGAGGTGACGGTGTCTCCTCGCTTCCTGCACAGAGACATCAGGTGTCCCATCTGTCTGGATATGCTGAAGAACACCATGACGGCCAAAGAGTGTCTGCACCGCTTCTGCTCCGACTGCATTGTCACCGCGCTGAGATCAGGGTGAGCCTTTTCTATCCACCTACCTTAACCTGAAGCAGAGCTCAGAGTAACACCACACCTCCCCCCCCCAGGAACAAAGAGTGTCCCACCTGCAGGCAGAAGCTGGTCTCCAGACGCTCGCTGCGCCGGGACTCAAACTTCGACGCTCTGATCTCCAAGATCTACCCGAGCCGGGACGAGTATGAGGCCCACCAGCGCAGCGTCCTGGAGCGCCTCAACCGGCTTCACAACAAGGAGGCGCTGAGCTCAAGCATCGAGGAGGGGCTCCGGCAGCAGGCCCGCTACAGGTTCGAGAGCTGGGGGCCACAGGGTGACACCACAGATCATGATGCATCAGGGTTACTAGAGACCCCTTAAAGGAGACCTATCATGCTATATTTAAATGATATAGTGTATGACCATACCTATATAAGGTATATTTATACATTTTATTTTTCAAAATACCAAACAGATCATTTTTTAGCCATGCCTCGTTTCGCTCATTTTCGCTCTATTCCAAGCCTGTCTTTGAAAATTCTGAGCAGCAGCTGACCACGCCCCCCTGCAGAAGAGCGGGGCATGAGCCGGCGAGAGTCACGTTAACATGCTTGCTGTGATTACGAGTGTGGAATAAACATGTCATCTCAGAGCAATGCATGTGTTCAAGCGTATTATCAATTTGATCCAGAGACTGACCCTGAAGCAGCGGAGGTTTTGGTGGAGGTGGAAACATCTCGGTTGCAGCAGGACGTTTCTGAATGGTTAGTTGACAAGCTGTTGTCCCTATTTATTTTACTCCGTTACGATGCGTGCTACTTATTCCGTTCATATTTTGGCTAATTAGCAAGAATGCAATGTGTACAGTTTATAACTTAGAGCTTGTAACGCAAAAACAGCAATACATATATATATATATATATTTATAAAGGGAGACATTCATATTTTCAGCATATATACAATGGCCTCATTGCATTTATTAATAGTTTACAGCCCTTTTCTTCCAACATCGTGCAACAACCGTTGGAAAGTTCAATAACTTAGGGTGATAAAAAGTATAACTCCAACAACACCTCAGTTGTCAGCAGTGTGTGTAGTTTCATGTGTTTTTAAAAGCTCAGTTATTGACTTCTTTCTACAAGTTTACATGTGCAAATTGCGCCACGATGCCTTCTGAACGGAGAATGTGCTGCATGGCGATACCACAGGTAACATTTTTGATAGCTTCACTAAGTTGTCTGTTTAGAGAATACATTTTTCACATGTCATTCAACATATGTTTATCACACTAGGTGTCAAGACGGATGCAGGAACTTGATGACTCTGTAACCTGTATGGTGGAGCATCCTGGATTGGAGCCTGTGTGCCTGAATGTGTTCTCCCTGCAGAATGCATTGAATATTTACAGAGCTGAACATGGTGGACTACAGTTGAGGCAAATAGAGCAGTGAGTGGTTTGTTTCTTTTGACTGAAATTGTAAAACGAATGCTAATATTGTTCATGGAAATAAATACTGGTGTATATGGCTTTATGCAATCTTTCATTCTGTCATTGTACATGTACTATTACAGCAATGGCATAACACACCCATGTGTACGACAACAAAAGTCCACACACAACCTTATGCTTTTGAAATCAGAATATTCTTTACCCATCCAAACATGAATAATCACGACACATTTGATATCAACTCGGAACTTTATTGTCAAAATCAACGGTTCTTTGAACCCATAAAAAAAAACTAAATGTACTTGTATTTTGTATAAATGACACTAAATATTTTTTTTAATGATTTCAGGCGTCACAGGTATCTAGCCTACAGAAGCTTTGTGAGCTGGTGCTGGGGCTTCCTTGGACGCAGGATCAGAGTGGTGATTCCGGCCTGCGTTGTCCTCAAGGAGGCAGGAGTTTCCTGATCCGCAAAATGTTGATGTTGGGTTCAGACAGCAGCCAAATTGAACCGTGTAGCATACCCGGCGATGACCTCCTCCCTGTCAGGTCGCTCATAATGGTGCAGGGTCCACAAAGACTTGGTCGAAGATGAGGTCCATCAAGTTGGCCACGTAGCCTGTGCAATGTTAAAAAAAGCACAACAAAAAATGTGGTTTAGATTAGTATATGCATGTAAAAAACTGAAAGTTCTTTCTAATTTTATATTTGTAAATAGTTGTATAATAAATATTTAAAAAACTTACGGAATGTGGGGTCAGTCTTTACTGGTTTTGCTCTGCATTCTCCCTTCCTGGCCTTTGGGAACTGCAGTTTATATAGAGGGTTTCCAGTGGATGTAGTGGCTTGTGCACGCTCAGCGTTTTCATTGTGGTGCAGGGCTGCCAGGTACAGTCTTTCATTTCCGCCATGATAAAAAAAAATGTAAATAATAGCAAAGGATGTACAAATTGTCACTAATTAGTAAGTATGTGAGGTGCTGGCCTGTAAAGAAGAAAACATAGTTAGAACAAAATCATCTCAATTTAGTATTCAGGATGAGAAAATACTATTTGGATAAATATCGTCTGAAATCCCAAAAGATGGGGCTTAAAACTCTCTATTTAGCAAAGCTCTTTGCTTAGCCTTTTCCAATCTGAGTTTTGAACCGTAACGTGCATGCTGTGTTTCTGACTCAATACAGATGATGTGTTGGAGAGGGGCTGAGCTCAGTAGACTGACTGTAATGAGTGCTAGCCACTAATTAGCATGTTGCTAGAGGTAAGGCCTCGTCAACAACAACAGACCAACGGGGCTTTATCTCCGTTTTACTCGTGGTGTGTGTCCCCCCTCGCATACATACACACAGTGTTGTATCCTCCTAACACACCCCCATTTATATTCATGTGCGCAAACAAGTAAACACACAAAAGCTTTTACATATAACGCTGCAAAAAACGGCACTTGCCTACAGAAGATTACGTTTGTTATTATAACTTACTCAATATAATTTTAGAGGATACAAAATACTAATAAATAGGAGAATAAATACTTGTGTTATCGGCTAGGGCGTGGCTTTACAGCCTTCACACAGATCGCCATTACGGCAGTATGTCTGAACATGTTAGCAAATGCCTGATAATTAAAATAAAAGACAAAGCAAAGACTGCGGAGCGTACAAAATAAAATGTTACAAAAACATATAAACACCTAACCGATTACTATTTGGGTTTGAGGCGACATTGATACGGTGAAGCTACATACTACAAGCTAGAGATAGCTTTATCAGGAAAAACACCGCTAAATAAAAACTTACAGCTTCAAAATTGGATGTGTCCTCACTGGCCTGGTCCCGAAAGGTTGGTATTGATCCCAGGTTTAGCATTAGTTTGGAGGCATATCCGTGTTGGACTTGAGAGAAGTTCATAAACATGTCCGTCGTAAAATGTTTGGAACACAGTCACACGAGTCACACCAACAGAAATCTGCCGTGGTCTTCTGGCACATGTCCCTTGAAAATGAAGTCTAGCCACAGATTATTTTCTTTTTCAAATGATTGCATGCAGTCCCCTGTCCCGAGTCTTGCAACCAACAACAGCACAACGTTTAACTGGCTTAGACATCCTGGCAAGAGCAGGCAAAAACACAGATGTGACTGGGGTTGATTTAGCCTGCCGATAGCCTATATGCGAATGAGAGGTTTGGCAATGCACGTGGCCGTGGCTCATTCCCCTGATAGGTGGAGAGTTGACCAATAAGCGGAGCACGTCTTTGTGACGTAGAAAAGTGTTGAAATCTGGATCAATTTTTTTCAGATCCGTTGCAGCCCCTTTTTTAGAGATTTGGCTAAGGAGGAAAATAGAGAGGGTTGTGTTTTCTGACACTTGGTGAGTTCCCTGGAACACCGGGGACACATATTCATGTATAAAAGACGTACAAAGGTGCATTTTGCATGATAGGTCCCCTTTAAAGAAGTCTGAAAAGACATTGTCAATAATCTAACCATAAGGCTAAGTCTTGAATCAATGTGCTACTTCACAAGAAATAAGATTTTTATAAACTCCCCTTCTTTTCGGACCATTATATAATCATTTTCCATGCTCGTTTTTATTTCCTAAAATAGTCCAAAGTTTATCTGAAGGCAATATAGGGTACTACAAGTTCTGGATATCTCCAAATAGTGTATCTCCAAAAGTAACATTTTCATATAGACTATTGTTTTTGAGAAAATAAGTCATTTATTTCAAAATAAATTGTAAACAAAAGATTAGATATACTTTATATTTAGTAATATTGACTTAATATAGTATATCTTATATGATCTTTTCTTTACTTTCTTTGACTTATTTGTTTCTGCCCACAAAAGAAGAATACAAAAATAATATTATTTTCCTTTTTTTATTTGCGTAATTTTTTGGTAATTTTTTTTCTTTATTGAAAACAGTATTAAGTGACACAATACACAGTTTTAACCGCTTTCCCTTTAAAATAATACGATGGCCTCCCTCACATTGATAAAAACACCAGTTTTTTACACCTTACACTTTATTATAACTTATATTATTTCACTCCCATTCATTCAGTTGTCCCCCCCCCCGCAGGAACCACCGGATGAAGAAGCCGATCCAGGAGAGTAACAACACCACTTTCAGCGGGGGGGAGGACAACGGCGACGCTCGCTCCCACCTGTCTCATGACTCCGCCCCCACCCCCGGGCAGACCCCCTCAGCAGCCGGGCCGAGCAGGAAGCGGCCGCGGGCTTCAGACGAGGGGCCTGAGGCAGACAGCGGCAACCCCACCCCCCCGCCACGCCACCACAAAGAGGGGCCGGCCTCCAAAATCGAGCTGATGTTCAAACCCCACCCCGAGCTGGTCCGCGGCCAGGACTACAACCAGACCAGGTGAGACCGGACCATTCAGAGGTTTCTTTATTTCGATTTTTAGATTTAGTACAGGCAAAACACTCACAGAAATGACTCGGCAGTCAGATGACAATACCAACTCGTACACACAAAAAACACAACATTAAATACAAAACAAAACACAAAACAGAGTTACTAGGATGCCTTCAACATTTTAAATAACTAGGTCAAGAGTTCAATTGACACAAGAACCAGAAACACACACATAACAATCCGAATCTGTACTGCCTCTCTTCGTTAGAGCTAATCATGTCTCATGTTGTGTTGTGCCACCTTGTAATGGGATTTAACAATCGTTTTTCCAAAACAAATTGTATTTTTGAATAAACTTCAACAGGAATAACTTGTTGAATGTGCTTTGAATTCCCTCAACAGAATATTTGTATGAAAAATGTTTTAGTGGAATCGAAAAATGTAACTCAATCTCCCCTGAAGGAGCGTACTGTAAGAAGAGGGAAAGCAGTAAGGCCTCTGATCTGTGAGCTCAAATGATATTGTATTTCATGTTATCTTTCTTTTAGTGAAAGAAACCCTGTAAATATGTTCCTATAGCCAACGAAGGTTATTGACCATTTTAGTCTAAAATAGTCCAGTCTATAATATTTTCTTTCCTCTTTTTTGTTCACAGTAAAGAAAATCAAGTATTTAAGAAACATTGAACTACAGTTGATTTTCTTTCTGTATTGTAGTTTGGTTTCTTTTCATCAACGATATAGATTGCGGCAGGGAAGACAGAATTTATAGGCAAACCCACATTTTGTATTTGAAATGTCTATCTCTTTATATTTGGTGTACTATCTGCAGACAGGTATTGTGTCACTACAATAGTCACACCAACAACTTTGCTAACCGTGTCAGTTTACAGAAAAGGTTAAACCTTCACAGATGAGAAACTGCCTTTTAACTTGAATTCAAATCAGATTGAAATGATTTAAACATTAATTTTAAGCGGTGAATGCTTCAGTAGTGTATATGAATATCTGTCTTTGCTTTCTACTCATTGTTTATCAAACGTTCTCCCTGCAGGTTGTTGAGCACGACGGTCAATGCCACTGTGGACCACATTTCCAAATACCTGACTCTGCGCATCGCCCTGGACGACAGACAGACCGACGCAGAGATGGAGGACAGAGGGAGGGAGGAGGGAGGGGGAAGAAGAGGAGAGGAAACAGGAGCAGCAGGGGGAGGAGGAGAGAGTGGAGGAAGAGCAGGAAATGGAGAGGGCTCGGCTCTGAAAACCATCAGTGAGAAACATCACACCATCTACATCCTGACGAGAGGAGGACAGTTCTCTGTGAGTCATCCAACCAGCACTCTGCCACGCCATCACACGAGCTTAACATGGGCTTAATATAAGAATTATATTCAACAAAGTCCTCGTCTGACTTTGGACAGGAATGCTAGTAACCGTTCACTGGCTGTCCATTTAGCACTCGTAGTGCCCGACTGTTATTTAAAAAGAAATGTGGTAGTGTTTGCTAATACCAGTGCATAGACTAACAACTATTTTCATTATATTATAAATTGATCTACAAAAGCATCTTTAAAAATTTTTTAAAAATAGTGCAAATGTCGTAGAACATGTACGTTTTGTTCCAGCACTGGAAAAAAAAGTCTAAAAAAACTATAATTTAAGCATGAACAAAAAAAATGCACATCTTTATCAAGACTAACTATATATTTATATAACACATAACATACACACAAAAGAGTGATGCATAAACATAGAAAACAAATCAGAAAATAAGAACAATTATTTTTATTTATAACGATTTAAACATTTCTACAATGTAAGAATCCGTAAGTATAAAATGCAACATCGTTAAGTGGTACCTTTTGGTATTTCACAATGAATCTAGAACATAATCTGCAGCTAAATCATTAACAACAATCATTTTAATTTGCAGCCCTAAACACAAACAACATACAGAAATACATTTCAGCTTCGGTCCGAACACAAATCCAGAAAAACATCTACTGCTTCAGAGCACACTTAGCTAGCATCTACTGTAGCTTTTAATCACTACAGTTTCATTGTCTTCATTATTTCCCATTCATTCAACCCCCCTCCCCCTCCCTCAGACGCTGAACGGCTCTCTGACTCTGGAGTTGGTCGAGGAGAAATACTGGAAGGTGAGGAAGCCTCTGGAGATTCACTACGCTCCCACCAGGGACCAGCAGCAGGCAGCCCCGCAGCCACAGCAGAAGTCCAGTGTGGTTCCAGAATGAGGCCTAAACTCTGGGTTCACTTGCTTTTAAAGTCGTTTTTTTAATGTATTAGATTTGGTTAGATGCCTGGAATAAGGTGTGTGGTTAACGGAAGCTAAGGATATGATTTGTTTTACGACATGAGATGTCAGTAAACGCCTCGGCCTACAAAACAAAATGTCCTCACTGCACCACTCTTTTAGCGTTTCTTTTTCAAATGTACTGGCATTAAGACAGTCTTGATCACTTTTGGATCTTACGAAATCTGATCTGAGACCTGATATTTGGAGGATACATCAAGAAGAAGAAAAAACACAAACCTCTTAATAACAGCAAAAAGAGTCGTGGCTTGTGTTCTGGTGAATAATCAGGCTGCGTCCGAACATTTAACAGCCGACCACGTTTATAAAGACAAAGCTGTGCAGTCGGGGTGTTTGAAATGTGAATGAATTATTTTTAGGTAACAGGGTACAAAATAAAAACACAATTGAATGTCTCTTAATAGGAAATGACATCAATCTATTAAGGTTAATACATGTGGCAGCCAGCCAGGAAAAGTTCAATATATTGGGTCATAAATGTGAGTCGTTGTTTTTTGTTGACACTTCCTTTGTAAAATCTATGGATCACTTAGTTAGAATTTTCAAACATTAAAATTAAGGGATTTCATTTCAAGTCAAAAGTATTAGATTATAATTCCAAGAAGTTCATTTGTTGTAATTCAAAGTGTGTCCGATCAAATACTTTTAAATTCCACACTTGTTTTCTTTCTTCATACTGATATAGTTGTCCATAAATGTATTGCTCAAGTTAATGAGATTCATCATCTGTTTTAACTTTGACTTTCAGACTAAAAGTCTGCATTATTCATGTATGATTGTCTAATGGGCATACTTGTTCTACAGTGACTTGTTTTTATGCCGCCAGTCAGAACTACACACACGGCTGTACTGAACATTTCCGTTTCTGCGAATGCATCTTATACATTTCCGAGAACTGCTTAATATATCAAAGGCTGGAGCCTATCCCAGCATGCACTGGGGTAGGACAGGGTGACTACACATTTTATGAGCAATATTATTCATGGAGTTGTTTTTTTTCTTAAAGGATAAGTGCAGGGTTGCGTTCCGATAATCCAAAAATCAGCTCCTAACGTCTAACCCTATCTCCTATTCCTTGACCTCTGAGTGAAAGGTCACAGGGTTAAGGGATAGTGGATAGGAGAATTCAAAAGGACTTAGGAGAAGAGACTGCGGTACTTTAGAGAATCGACTGCACTTTCACTATCCGACGTGTTTATGATGCGCCAGCGGACGTCATGAATGTGCGTCTGCTGCTGTGGGGAAACTATGGAAACTACAGTTTTCTATACAGCGGACTACAACATGGATGTTTAATAAGAACGAGGGACTACTGTAAACTCATCTAGAGACTCTGCACCGTGCTCTGATGCTGTTGCTTTATGCTTTATGAACGTGGACAACAGAGAAACATATTCTTCAGGACCAAAGTTGGAATTGAAATAAAAAAGGAAAGTGAAACTTCTGCTCGTCACCCTCTCCCTCCGGTCCACATTAATACAAATGATCCCAATACGTATGATTGTATGAACTATGAAAATATCTTAAAATCAATACAGATGTATTTATTATAAACGTTAGTCCTTAACATCTATCACTGTATATATCACCATTCAAACATCTTTTAAAAGTTGAACAAACCCACACAGCTCAGTAAAGACTGTGAGATGTTGACTTTATTTGATCATTTCAGTAAAAACTAACGTTCATATTTCTCTTTTTGATTATAATACTGATGAACGTTCAAAACAAAGCACTTTGGCAACTTACCACATACGTTTTAAAAAGCTTAATAAGCACCGTAACGTTCATGTCATAATCGGTTGTTTCCGTGAACGGCCGAATGTTGTGCGACGGCAAATGCTGCGGCTGCAATACATTGTGGGGCAGCATTTTCTCCTCTCCTTTCGGTTAGGGAGGTCCAGTGGTTCCTAAGCTAAAGGAGGTTATAAAGGAAGTTTGAAACCTCCTTTCCTTTCATTTGGAGAATTGGAACGGCACTTATCATGGCTGCCACTGAGGGACTTCCGGGTCATTTCATTCCGTTAGGAAGGTTCCTAAGCTAGATGGACTATTGGAATGCAACCTAGGTTCCCTATTGGATTGATTTTTTAAAAATTACTTTCAGGTGTGACTTAAGACTTAATTTGCAAGTGTAGACCATGTTCCACCTTAACATATGTAGCTTTGAAACCCACCAACATCTCACTTTATGGTTTCCACACTCCACAGGGGGTCATTGTCTCCTTATAGGCCATTAAGACTAGTTTGATTTAACCATTTATATCTTAATTTCGTTTTAATGCATATTACATTTCCTGCAGCCATAACTTTGCCTAGCTTATGATAAAGATTGATGATTAAGAAATGTTTTCTTCAGTTATACTCTCACAGTAATGTGGCAGTGTTTAGTTTTGACTGCACTGATTCAGAATTGTTCATGTGGCGTTAGGTAGAGCTTTGCTGGGAGGCATTTCTAAAGTGTCAGTTGCTTTAAGCTGCGACTACAGAAGAGTCAGAGGGTGTTTTTCAATGTCTTCCGAGCGTCTTGCTTCAGAAGCGAGGCAAGAATACTTCCTGGCATTCGGAAAACTGAGTGGAACAGGCTAGCCGGTGTCCGGCACAGATTTGGGGAAATTGGTCCGTGCGCAAAGCATTGTGGGGATTGTAAGACCGGAGTCTACACATGTGCAGCCTCAAAATGTCTCCAAACGAAGTACGCCGGGCTCGGTAGAATTCCAAGTATGCTGGACATTGGATCAGGCCTTCGGCGGCACTCCATGACGTAGTATGCTTGAAATAGTGGCTCTGGAGCAGCTTTACTCGACATTAAGAAACACCCAGGGACTTGCATTAAATGTTGACTTTTTCTCTCATGAGCTTTAATGAAGCCGGTCCCTTCAGCAGTATCAAGAGAAACATGACGCTACAACAGATCTGTCCAGTGACTTTTATTGAAACAAGGGGAAGCAGGGGGTTTACTTCTTCTTGGACACACCAACGGTGCGACCACGACGGCCGGTGGTCTTGGTGTGCTGACCACGCACACGCAGACTGGAAGGAGAGAGGATAAAGTTTAGTTTAAAAAAACATAGCTTATAAAAAACAGTTAGATCCAGCGGTACAACCTTCCAGATTGATCTGATAGTATGTCATGTACTAAAGCCCTGAGATGCTAAATGTACAACTTTAATACAATGCGCTATTAGTTAGCATCCCACTGAAATAATTAAAACTACTTCAGCTTTTTGAATTAGCCCTTAACAAAATGTAATGTCATCGACACCAAGACTGAGCAGCTTCAACCTGCAGCTCAAGGAGAAGATGCACCCTGACGGCTTTGCTAAACGCTGTAGTCAACCTAACTTCATCGCTTTGATTTAACAGTGCTCTCTGGCAAACAGGACGAACAATGCAGACGCCAACAGAAGTCTTACCCCCAGAAGTGCCTGAGACCCCGGTGAGCCCTGATCTTCTTCAGCCTCTCCAGATCTTCTCTCAGTTTGTTGTCCAGACCGTTAGCAAGGACCTGCAAACACGCAGCAATAGTTAACAGGTTTGTTAAGGATTGCATAGAGTTCACCTTTGAACTACTTCACTAGTGTCTTTCAAATATAAAAGTTCATTTGACATGTCACTAAACCATTAACACAACATGTTATTCAAAACCTTTATTTATCCAGGTAAAATCCCATTGAGATCAATGATCTCTTTTTCAAGGGAGACCTGCAGCAGTATAGCAAACTACCCCTGTGAATTCCTGCAGCTTGTCTTTAAGACACGTGAAGACAAGTAAAAAGGAAATCTGCTAAACACACAAGGGACAAAACTATTCCAAAACAAGCTGGAGCCCTGGCTTTCAACTTTTGATTCATGACACGTCACTTGTTAGACGCTTTTATCCAAAGAGACTTAAATACTCAGTACTGTGGGCAATCTCTACAGGAGCACTTTGGGGTGACGTGTCTCAGGGACACAACAACATGCTGACTGCAGTGGGGTTTGAACCTGTGCCCCCTGATCCCAACACCAAGGCTCTATCCACTGCGCCACACGCCTCCATTCAGACGTTTGTGATAAAGACATGTAAAGTCTGCTCAAATGACTTGACGTTTTAGGTTTAATATAACTATTAATGCTAAAAACGTTTTGGAATGATTTAGAATGCTTTACTGTCACCCACCTGGCTGTATTTGCCATCCTTCACGTCCTTCTGCCTGTTGAGGAACCAGTCAGGGATTTTGTACTGGCGAGGGTTCTGCATGATGGTCACAACACGCTCCACCTGACAACACACACAGCTGTTAGATCACAAGAACAATAATAGAGTGGAACCAAGTAAAATCACAATCTGATACAGAATGTTGCCACAGATACATGACTGTAAAACACATGACTGTGTAGCCTCTGCACACATACATATTGATGCACACAGACTAGGGGTGCAACAACTAATCGACGACCAAATTAGTTGCCAACTAATTCGGTCGTCGATTCGTTGGTGACGTCATCACGTGTGTTTTACGCGCCGTTAAGCTCCAACGTTATCGGTCTTTTTATCGGTACTGGAGACATTAAAACAATATATGTCATGTATTATTGATACAAGAACATTATCTCGTAGTCTTAGTGTCGCCAACTCGTTTCTAAAATGCAAAAAGACAAAAATATGCATCTATGGTCGGTGTATTTTTTATCTTTCCGATCCAGACGCAGCTGCTACATGCAGCAACACACGGCGGGGATGGTGGAGAGAAGCGCTCCAAGGTGTGGTTAAATGTTACCCGTCTTGAGGTGGACAATGCTCCTTGCCAAGAGAGTTCAGCATGTGAGGGCGGTAACACGAGCAATGTGTCTAAACATTTATCAAAAGTGCTCCACATTCAGACGGAGGAATGCACCGGGTTCCACTGTCTTTCTAGTAGCTCTGCAGCCCCATCCAGAGTAACGTTTCCACGTCAGGTGTTATGTATGCTAGCAGCAACACACGGAGTTAACTCAATGATACAAACATGGGGTAATGATGAGAGGAAACTGAGTTACTCTTTATTTTGTTAAAGTTTCAGCTATTCTGTTTACAGTTCTGTCATCAGATTATTTAATACCATTTGTTAAAACATTGTTGTTTCTTTTGATGTGAAATATTATTTCTTTAATTTAAATAAAAAGCAATGTTAGTTTTGTTCACAATTTGTTTAGTTAATTTAATAATATATGTATTTTTGAATCAAGTATTCATCTTTATTGTCTTCATTGTTAGTTTCCACATGCCTAAAACAACCTCAAGCTAAATCTAAAAGTTGATGGCTAAATAAGAGCGTTTGAGAAATTGTGCAAGCCATACAGTAATAGTCTGAATAGTTGATTCATCGTTTCATTAATCGATAGATTAATCGATTATCAAATGAGTCGTTTGTTGCAGCCCTAACACAGAATCAGGAAACATTTGGCATTATATATTGTCAAAAATGTTTGAAGTATTTCTCACTCATTTATCTGCAAAGCTATGGAAAATTAAAACATTCCATTTTGACAAGAGTTTAACATGTTTTCCCATTTGCTGCCAGGACCCTGTGAACAGCCCCAGCTCTCACCTCATCGTCGGTCAGCTCTCCCGCCCTCTTGCTGAGGTCGATGTCGGCCTTCCTCAGGACGACATGAGCATAACGTCTGCCAACACCCTGCGAAGAACAAGGACTTAAGGATCAGGCAATTTCACAAATGAGATGTAATAAATATGATAAAGTATGATCTAACACTTCAAATCAAGAATAACCCACAAGGTGCATATCTCAAATTAAGATGTAAATAAAAAGAAATAACCTGTGAGGGCATGTTAAAACCACAACACAAAGCACTTCATTTTCTAAAACCATACCTTGATGGCAGTGATGGCGAAGGCGATCTTCCTCCTACCATCGATGTTCGTGTTGAGAACACGAAGAATGTGCTGGAACTTCTCAGGGATGACAAGAGACTGAAAACAGAACATTTCAGAACATTAGGAGGCAGGAATCTCAAGTTCAGACATTGTTCATTTTAAATACGTGCTTGAAATGCTTGATCAATATTAGCCTGATAACCCTTATTGAAGTGGGAGATACTTAAAATCAGGGTAGCAGTAATGGCAGTGGGACTAGAACATTATGGATGGCTGTTTTTTCTACAGGTGGCTGTTTCCGTCCATTACTCCTCATTTCAGCAGCATGTTTACCTTCAAACGGCTGCAGGCTAACTTCATTTACAAGAAACACTGCTATTGCTGACTGCTAGCATGCTTGCAATGGCCAAAATAAAAGTTCTTAAGTTAAAAACGGTGTATTGTTATGTTATTTTCTCTCTCAAGTCTGAATTGTATATGGATTTTTGGCTCTGATCAGTAGTACATGGTCAAATAACGTTCTGGAAGTATAGTATGTGTGCATCTGAAGCTAATAGTTTTGGCTCCAGTTAGCATAGCTATTATTACTCAAAGCACAACTTCTGTGCCCCTTTAGAACCTTCAAAACTACTCAGACCAATGGGTTACCCATTCCAAAGCAACTCAACCTTCAATATGATATGAACCGGCGAAACATGTACCGTGCCTCCAGACATGCTACTACATAAGTCAGGAGGTTTCAAGCTAGTTAGCGTATACAGGTAGCCGCCTAAATGTGAGTGTTTCTGTAACTTTAACGACGCCGGTAACTTGGAATATACCTTGCGGTTGTAAAGCTTTGCTTTAAACGGAGCACAAAAACAACATCCATACAATTACGTTGTATCAATAGATGGAAAAGCCTCCATGCTAGTTAGCTGCACCTCAGCTCGGCGTTGACAGTAAATCGAGTTACTATGTCAATTTCTGTGACCAATACGCAAACAATTCAACATCACTCCACTTGCACAGAGCATCTAATATTCAATAAACGTATGTTTGTAGTAAATAACAGCGATTAAAGCCTGATGATTGCAGATTTCCAAGTATTCCAGGTTGACAAAAATGTACTCACCATCTTGGAAGTAGGTTCCGTGCGAAGAGGAAGCTGAAAGGCTCTCGCGAGAGTTTGATACTGTCCGTGAACGGAAGTCGGTTCACCGATTTTATACACCGGTTAGATACAAATATATAATAAACACAAATACATATAATTAGCCATGTTTACGTTGTCCGACGGAGTACTTATTAACCAATGTAGTTTACCTTTATTTAGTTGAGACTGTCATTGTGACATATATTTATGTTCATAAACGCAAGGACGCTTCTTCCGTATCTGGGAACGACGAGGCGGAACTTTACATCTGTACTTCTTTTTACGTTAGCGTAAATTCGCTTCAATGGCGGAGGTGGCTGCAGCTGGGGGAGCTGGTCCCGATGTCAACACAACTGGAAACCCGACAGAAATGGCCATGGCGTACTTACAAGACGAGGTGACATTTTATAACTTCTATTTGAATCTTAGCAGTTGTGAACAACTGTAATATGTGTTTATGGTCTCTCATTTCTGTATCCTGTTAGCATTCAGAACCAGAGACAGTCATTATCAATGAACTGCAACTGTACATAGCTGACTGCAGTGCATATTGCTATATGGACAGATACATAGCTTTGAGTGTTAATCAGAACTTTTTTCAAATTGGGTATTTTTGACGAAGTTGCTTGAAGTTTAAGCCAATGTAGCTGTTAGCACCCTGTCAAAACACTGGAAAGCTGAATGATTTCCTGGATGAAAAATGTGACGTCATATGCGTTGCAATAATCGGCCGATAATTCAATTAACTTCACATTTCTGACCCAACTTCAGGAAATATAATTAGCACATGCCATTTAAAAGCAAAATCTCTAGAAACCTATGATGGAAATGTTTCCTTCTTCACTAATACTTTATTGACAATTGATGAATCAGTCGATCATGAAAACAACATGTAATTGCAGTTAAATTGAGTTGGCTCAAGTTAGCACAGCAATTATTATTCTTACCACCAACTTATATTCAAAGCCTTCAAAATGACTCAGTCCAAAGGACCCTAAACATCCATTACTTGTTTTTAAAAGTGTGACCCTCCTCTGGGAAATGCAGTATGCACCTGCCACCTGCCAAAGCCATGTTTTCTGAGGCAGACACAAGTTCAGGTCATATGACACTTTCGTAAATACGTTTTCCTTATATTAGGGGGAACAAATCCTTACTTACAAAAAATAGTGGGAAAATATGTATTTATAGCCCGTGGAAATGTTTGGTGATCCGTCACAGTGACAAAGGAGAACAATGAAATCATTCCAGAGACCTTTCAGCACATTAAATAATTATTTGTTTATAATTATGTCTGTTTTTATTCTAGAAGACTGATGGAGACATCCCAGACATCAACCTGGGAGAATTAGACCTCACCACTGATGAGTTCATCCTGGATGAAGTGGACAGTAAGGCAACATTTAGCATTTGAATGTCTCATAATGAGATCTGGATACAAAGGAGATCAGCACAGATGAATTTAGCTTTCTTCTTGGCCTGACATTACATCTTTTACATTTTGACAACGTGCATCAACTACTTGCATTCCTTAATGACAACTAGATCCTATGAAACCTTCTGTACTGCATCAACTACAGATTGAAGTTCATAACTCAACGCTGCAGCCTGGTAGAGACAATCTGTGGTCCAGAGTTTCTGTTTGAAGTTGTATTTGTCATGACTGCCCTTCGTCTCTTTCTCCTAAAGTTCATATCCAGGCCAATCTGGAGGATGACCTTGTGAAGGAGGCGCTCAAAACGGTAGGCGCATTGTGGCTCTGATGTTTAAACATGGAGGTCTAAGAGAGCAATGAAAGTATTTCTCTAAACAAATACTACCTGTCGTCAAAAAAAACACGCTCGGCACCTGTTGTTGTTACTATTGTAATATGTCATCTGTCATTGCTATTAGGGCTGTGCATCTTCACTGGTCTCACGATTCGATTCGATTACGATTATCCTGTCAACGATTCGATTCAATTCGATATCCCGATGCATCCCGATGCATCACGATTCATACCAATGCGTTGCATCCTCAATTTTCTATATTACTGCACATGGCTTATTTTTCATCAATGCATACATGCAGTAAATACATATGAACTCTCTTTTTATTATTTAGAAAGTGCTTCAGAAATCAATAACATAAATGTCTTGACATTCATTTATAAACCAAAATAAATGAATTGTATAGGTCTAGCCTCCCTATATCTGTGTGTGAAGTTGTTCCATCCTCAAAAACTAATGCTTCTGCAGTCTAGCTGCAGCTTCTAGCAACGGCCTTCTGTTAAAGAAAGGACACTGAATGTCCTGAATGTGGCATCACACACAGGACTTGAGTCTGAACACAGCAGACAACAGGAGTATTTACAATAGCATATACAAACAAAAATAGTGCATGTGGGTGCACACTTACATTCTCTGTCTTACTGTTACATAAATCCCATGAATGTATGAGATTAAATTAGCTTCATTATATCTCAGTGATTAAGTGAATAATAAAGTTTCTATCGGGTCAGCCTGTCACTCATTATTTTCAGGGAGGGGGCGGGGCTTAGAGGAACAGAGGAGACGGTGATCACGGAAGCTTTTTTCCTCCTGCCTTCACAAACTTTACACACGTATAGATCGTCTGAAAATTGCTAGAGGACATTCATACTCTGCAATCCAAGACTTAATTAAATCCACCAAAAACCTGACTTGATTGTAACGCCAGTATTTTTTAAAAACATAAATCCCTGTGTCTCTGAGCCGCAGCGACACGGAGTGATTCAGAGCGGGTCCTTCTGCTGTTGGTTCTGGACTGGTGGTGTTGTGTTGGTGGATAAAGCAGACTGCTCCGTGTTTGGTGTTGCTGTGCCGCTGTGCCGCTGTCACGTCTGTTCCCTGATCTCTGCGTCACCGACCGATTTGATATTAAAGTGACAGAAAAAAAAACGTTATAGTAAAGCCGCGGCCGGAAAATCAGGAAGCAACGTTACTACGCTATAACCGATTATCTTCCGTCACTGCATCGAGACCGAATCGTCCACGTCCGCATCGCAATGCATCGTAGAAACGATTATTTTCAACACCCCTAGTTGCTATCTCCCTTCATTCATTAAGAACATATTAGGGGAGTGAGATTCAATAAGAGATATTAAACCAAATACAAGTCTATTCAATTAGGTGAAAACTGCATTTATATTAGCCAATTGATGGCATGTTTTCCTCAGTACACTGTGTTTGATAAAAGTGTGACAGTGTTCCCTCCTCCTGTCTGTATTCAGGGTGTTGACCTCCGTCAGTACTCCAAGCAGGTGGAGTCAGAGCTGCAGAGGATTGAACAAGCCTCCATTAAAGACTGTATCCTTTGAATGTTACGGTCTACACTTCATTTATATTACAGCTTCAAAAGAGATCAACATTGGCATCAGTCCATTGTTTTGGGGTATTTTCTATATGTGTCTTTTCTAATGCAACAGTCCCAAATACAGAAGGAATAGAAATAAATCAATGCATCGTAAAAATAGAATCAATCAATCAATCAATGTTTATTTATATAGCCCTATTTCACAAATGTTACATTTGTCTCAGAGGACTTCACAGTGTGTACAGAATATCAGTATGACAATACGACACCCTCTGTCCTTAGACCCTCTGTCCTTAGACCCTCTGTCCTTAGACCCTCTGTCCTTAGACCCTCTGTCCTTAGACCCTCTGTCCTTAGACCCTCTGTCCTTAGACCCTCACATCGTACAAGGAAACACTTCCGGAGAAAACCCACAGTTTAAGGGGAACATGGGAGAAACCTCAGGGAGAGCAACAGAGGAGGGATCCCTCTCCCAGGACGGACAGACGTGCAATAGATGCCGTGTGTAAATTAAAAAGATAATACATTTGCAACATAGGTAGTCCAAATGTTTGGAAATGCATGTGTGTATAATAGGAAGATGAATCCACGAGGATGTCAGCAATCGTGTGGAAGCCATCAGGGAAGCAGCACGATGAGTCAGGCAGGATCACAGAGACAGGTTCAGCCAGGAGAAGAATTGTTATTCTTTATTAGGTGCCAAATTACATTTTTAATGTGCATTGTCAACAAAGACAAAAAAAAAGCTTATATATGACGCTGATATAAAATATGAATGTAAACAAATGATGCATATTGATATGAGTATTACCACAAACATCTTGGTTCCTTTCAGTGATGTCTTCAAATACAAACATTGTAATCACTCATTTCACTTTGTTCGTGATCTAAAACAAATGGCATATTTCCTTTTGTTGTTGTTGTTTTTTTTAATGCTTTATCATTATTAAATGATTGTTATTTTCCTGACTGCTGATCTGTCAGACATCAAGGAGAGTCAGAACATCGCTCTGCTGCACAACCAGATCACTGCCTGTGACTCCATACTGGAGGTAAGAGATCCCACAATGCACTGCATGTGGAGTCAGTAGAAGATAATGTATAACGAATACAGGGTGTTAGATCTCAGGAGGCCTTGTCAGCTCAGTTTTCTCCATCTCAAAGATCCACAGAGAATTCCTTCTGTCGATATGACAATCTGCGACCACACTCCCAGTTGTATCGTCCCCTTAAAACCCAGGATTTAAAACAAATTCAATTCAAATAGAACTTCAATCGTCCAGGAGGAAATTAGTTATGATTTCAACCCTTGTTTTCCGTGTGTTGTTCCGCCCTTCCAGCGTATGGAGGGCATGCTGAGCGGCTTCCAGTGCGACCTGTCCTCCATCAGCAGTGAGATCCAGACTCTGCAGCAGCAGTCGGTCAGCATGAACGTGCGGCTGAAGAACCGGCAGGCGGTGCGCAGCCACCTCAGCCAGCTGGTGGACGAGCTGGTGGTGCCCGGAGCCATGATCTCGTGAGTGGGGGGGGAGAGCTGGGGCTCCAAACAGCTGTTAAGGGATAGTTTTGATTAAAGTAAGGTTGTCCATAGTCAGTGACCACCTCCAGTTTAAGAAGCCGACAGGAGCACTAACAGTAAGCCTAGCAATGTACTGCTGTGGACATAGCCCCCAGTAAATGAGGCGGGGGGGCAGAGCGCTGCAGCAAATTTCGCAGTGGTTAAAGGGTGGTACTGCCCCTTTATGCTGCATGTTGAAATAGCATAGTTCAAACCAATTTTCTAAACTTTGCTATTCAGCATTAATAGCTTATTAATACTAATAAACCACTGTATGTTGTAATATTCATGTTATATTTGTCGTACAATGTTACATTTTTCTACTTTAACCTCTTGTTAGATACATTTTTTTATTTTATCGGACATTTTACTTAACTTCGTATTTTTATATTAATATTTGATTGTATTATATATTTGTATTGCGCACTTCCTTTAATATATTATTCTTAGATGGATCAACGGTCCTGAAACCCTATTTGACCTGGGATAAACAAGGTTTTCTGATTATATACATGTAAAGGAACTTACAACTGCTTTACTTCCTTGCTAGTATTCTTGTTTATAAAACTGAAGGCTAGCCAACTGCCATCTACTGTAGATAAAACCCAATGGTTAAGTACCTGATACATCCCTCTTAGCGTGTCCATGAGGAGAGTGTTGATCTGATGTTATCTCTTGTCTGCGCAGCACCATCCTGGACAGCCCTGTGACGGAGCAGGGCTTTCTGGAGCAGCTACACGAGCTCAACAACAAGATCAACTTTGCCAAAGAGCTGAGCTTCAGAGAGACGCTGGCCTGCTCCGACATCCAGGACATCGTGGACCGCCTCAAACTCAAGGTGAGACGGAAAGGGGAGGGTCTAAGAAACTCCATGGTGATATATATTCATATATTTCTACTGCCGGGTACCATTTACAAGTGTTAACATTTCAATTGTTCTACATGGATTCCAGAAGTGGCATGTTTTTTTAGTTAGAGATTCAAAGGTTTATTGTCATAACATACCTTATTTCAAACCATGTTTCTGCAAGAGTTTCAGAAGGAGCGCTGAATAATGAAACCTGATAATAAAGCAATTAGGAACTAAATTATTTTTAAACCTGTTAGTGGCACACACGTCAACCACCTGAACTCGTGCCTAAAGCACCTTCATAATGATATCAACTGTGGTGCCATACAAAAGATAGAAAAGGAGAAAAACAGCAGTCCTTCTTCTAAAATGTGTCCCTGAAAATAACTTAGAAGAATATCATGTCATCACTTGTTGGATTTGAACTTGGCAGGGTTTCTCACACGTATATCTATAGTATGGCAGCAACAACAACAACAACAACAACAACAAAACAAGGTTCACAATTTGCTACAACCCACAATGACTACATCAGTTGTCTTGTTTTGGCCAACAAACAGCCACAACATATTCAGTGTACTACACAGAAAGCTGCAAAGTCTCACATTTAAGAATCACATTGTTGGTATATCGTCTTCGATGTGACTTAAAGGTCACATGTCATGGCCATTTCTACTGATGATTCCATTGTTGAGGTCTACTAGAATAGAGAAACCAATGTTCCAAACTCACATTGGTTTCTCACAGCATCTCTGTATAGTATGTGTATTCACTCTCTGTCCTAAACGGCTTGTTGGAGCTCCTGCCCCCCCTCCCCGTGAGCCCACTGTGCTCTGATTGGTCAGCTCGCCCACTCTGTTCTGATGAGTCCACCACCGTTACAGCGGAACATCAGTGTTTATGTGTTACAATGGCGTTTGTTAGCAACCAGAAAATGACACCAGTAATGACAAACAGATGAGAATGCTGCGTGGGGTCTGGGTGCCGTGTTGGCGGGACGTTGTGGGGCTCGCTGCTCCGCCCTTTGAGGCTCGAGGAGCGGAGAGTGTGAGCTGGATTACTGGGGTCGTTTCCTGGTTGCTGCATGGGGTCTGCGAGACAGCGAGACACCGCGGAACTCAGCCTGAGAAAAGATAAGGCTGAGTGAGTGTGTGTGTGAGAGGAACTCCACGGAGCCGTTACGTCACTATGACCAGGAAGAAAACAATGGAAAAAGAGAAATGTCCAACGAGGCGTTCTGGGGCAGCACAGACAGGTCTTTTCTGTGTTAGAGTTTTACTCGCTACAGGGGGTTTGAGGGTTTGTGACTCTGCAGACCGTTTACATGCAGAAAAAGCTACATAACACACAAGGGGACGGGTGATAACTGGAAAAGCATCACATGGGACCTTTAAACCCTTAGTTGATGAATAAAATATTCACAGATGAATTTTCTGTCTGTATTTATCCACTAAGTGTTGCAACTCTGAAAAACCATCAGTACAGGAAAGTGCATTAACATTCTGTCGATTGATTTCAATGAAATCTTTCTTTTCTTTAAAGATTTGGAGAAACAAGTACACAAATATCCTTCAAAGGTACTCTTCCTCCATTTCTCTTTTTAATACATAACCAACTCTATGCGCTCAATGGAGCAAATCACTTTAACTCTCCGACTCCAAAAGAAGAGGGTGGATACATATTTGGAAAAATGGGATTGTTACAAACATCTAGGATCTAAACAGTGTCTTAGTATTTGTCTGCCCTCTTCACATGTACTGTGAACTCTAACTGGTAGAGTAGAAAGGTAAACGGTTCTATGTTAAATAAATTAAAAGTATAACAAATGTTATCCTTTTAAATGACTTTGTTGCTGACGTGAAACGATCTTTCTTCCTTCCTCACTTCAGGCGGTGTCAAAGATCCGAGAGTTCATCCTCCAGAAGATTTACTCCTTCAGGAAGCCAATGACAAACTACCAGATCCCCCAGAACACTCTGCTCAAGTACAGGTGAGAGCAAGACATTTCATACCACTTAGGAATATATCAATCTTCTTCTCCATTTAAGTTCTTTATTGGAGGTTTTATTGTGTAGAAAAACAAACATGAAAAGTCCACCATAATAATTACAAGTACGCATCAAAAAATTAAGTATTTTTTAATAGTCATTTTGATTGAATTCAAGCACACTGTACTGTCTGTTTTAAAGATGCTATAAATGAGTGAACATTTAAACTTCGGCTCTTTAACTCTGTTTTATTTCTTCTCGCTGTAGATTTTTCTATCAGTTCCTCTTGGCCAATGAGAGAACCGTTGCTAAGGAGATCAGAGATGAGTATGTGGACACGATGAGTAAGATTTACTACAGCTACTTCAAGTCGTACAGCGGCCGGCTGCTCAAAGTGCAGGTCAGTGGCTCCACACAGGACATGCAGTATGTGCCAAACAAATACACTCTATTGCCAGCATAGGCAACCTGGAAGTGTTGAGTACACCAAAGTGTTGTGATATAAATGTATAGTACGGGTCCCCAGCACAAAGAAACTGACTAATGCCTACTTGTATATGTTGGGAAATTTGCGCAATTGGCATAAGTTGCATTAGTTGGCATGAGAAAAGCTAAAAAATGGCTTGGATGATTTTGCCATTTTGAGTGGTTTTTTAGGTATATTGAGGATCGAAAATGGCAGTTTTGAGTCCCCTGAAACTTTAAAATCAACCAAAAAATTCATTGAAATCAGCCAACCAGGAGAACAAATATGGCCACTTTGTGGTTAAACTGCCATTTCTGATCCTGAAAATGGCAGGAATCCTCAATAACCCCCAAAACGGGTCCAAATGGCCAAGCCTTTTTTTCCCACTATTGTCTGCATATTACATTACATTGCATTTAGCTGACGCTTTTATCCAAAGCGACTTACAATAAGTACATTCGACCAGGAAGACACAACCTTGAAGAAAACAGAATCATATAAGTACATCAGGTTTCATAGAGCCAAACATTTCAAGAGCTACTCAACTGGCTTTAGATAAGCCAGTCCTTTATTAGTATATAAGTGCTTTGTTAGCAGTTCTATCGCTCGAAGTGGAGTCGAAAGAGATGAGTTTTCAGTCTGCGCCGGAAGGTGTGTAAGCTTTCTGCTGTCCTGATGTCAATGGGGAGCTCATTCCACCATCTTGGAGCCAGGACAGCAAACCCACGTGTTTTTGCTGATGGGAACTTGGGTCCCCCTTGCAGCGAGCCGTTTGGCTGATGCAGAGCGTAGTGCACGCGCTGGGGTGTACGGTTTAACCATGTCCTGGATGTAGGAAGGGCCAGATCCATTCGCAGCATGGTACGCAAGTACCAGTGTCTTGAAGTGGATTCTAGCAGTTACCGGAAGCCAGTGAAGGGAGCGGAGGAGCGGAGTGGTGTGGGAGAATTTAGGAAGGTTGAAGACCAGACGAGCCGCTGCATTCTGGATGAGCTGCAGAGGTCGGATGGCACATGCAAGTAGACCAGCCAGGAGGGAGTTGCAGTAGTCTAGGCGTGAGATGACGAGAGCCTGGACCAGAACCTGCGTGGCTTTCTGGGTCAGCTGGGGACGTATCTTCCTGATGTTGTAAAGCGTGTATCTGCAGCAGCGGGTTGTAGCAGCGATGTTTGCAGTGAAGGACAGGTTGTTATCTAGGGTCACACCCAGATTCCTTGCAGTCTGAGTTGGGGAAACAACAGAGGTGCCGATGTTGATTGTTAGTTCAAGAGTGGGACAATCTTTTCCCGGAAGGAAAAGCAGTTCAGTCTTGTCAAGGTTGAGCTTGAGGTGGTGAGCAGACATCCACTGAGAGATGTCAGCTAGACAAGCAGAGATGCGTGCGACGACCTGGGTCTCTGAGCGGGGAAAGGACCGAATTAATTGGGTGTCGTCAGCGTAGCAGTGGTATGAAAAACCATGCGGGCTAATGACTGATCCGAGCGAGTTTGTGTACAAGGAGAAGAGGAGGGGACCAAGAACAGAGCCCTGAGGGACCCCTGTAGCAGGGTTTCCGCTAGGATTTTTTTCTCGCCGGTCAAATGTCCGGGCAGAATTTATTTTACCGGACACATTTGAAAATTACCGGTCATATTTCAATAATAATAATAAGAGTTGTGTAGCAGAGTTTCCGTTAGCAGGTAATTACCGGACTATGAGCAGATATGCTTCAGTTTAAAACTCAGTTCACGGGGCTCATTTTTATATTGCTTCAGTTTATAATCGTAACAGATCGAAAAATTCAGATTCATTTTTCAATAAATTATTCCACAAACAACATAATTATTACATTCAAACAAACTACTTGTAGTAGATAACGTACATTATTCAAAAGTTTACATTAACTTTGAATAATAACACGGGAGAAACGGATCCTCTCTTTTCCCCTCTCCCTCTCTCTCTCTCCTGACAGCCCGTCAGTTTCTCATGCAGCTCGCTAAACAGAGGGCGGGGCTTCAGGTGATTATGCAGAGCTGCGTGTCTCGGTCTGACTCAGCAGCTGATCTGATCTCTCTCTCGGGTCCGGTTACACTTCACTCGCGTTTATGTCCATATCGATCAGATCCAGCTCTCCTGATCGGCCTTTATAGAGATCACCGATCAAACTATTAAGAGTGAATATCGGCCGATAATGACCGGCGGCCGATCTATTGGAGCCTCCCTAATTATTACCAGACATTTTGACCGGCAGGTTTTGAATTTACCGGTTTTTAATACATTTTACCAGCTAAAAACCGGTAATTACCGGCTAACGGAAACCCTGCCCTGTAGTTAATTGACAAGGGTCGGACTCGGACCCTCTCCAAGTAACCCTGTAGGTACGATCTTTCAGATATGAGGTGAGGAGGGAAAGTGCAGAGCCTGAAACTCCAAGTTCTTGGAGTGTGCGAAGGAGGATCTGATGGTTCACCGTGTCGAATGCAGCAGACAGGTCCAACGGGATGATGACAGAGGAGAGGGATGCATATGCTAATTAATGCTAATTAACACAACTTATGCTGATTGTGCAAATTGCCCAACATATGCAGGTAAGCATCTGGTAGTTTCTATGTGCTGGGGAGGACCCGTACTGTAAATGTCTACATAAAGCTTTGGGGTCCTCAACATTTCCAGGTTTCCAAAAGGACCCTATGAGCTGGCAAACAGACTAAATCTGTGTTGTTGAGTATGAGGAATATGACTTGTAGATCAGAATATCTCTGCAGCTCACCAATACTGCACTATATGGCTCTAGTCCATATTGCAATTTCGATACACTTTGGATTCATTTTGGACTAGTAATAAAGAAGCATTGGGCTTTTGTCAATTGAAATGAAGAGATGATTTTGTCTGACAGGGATGTTGTATCAGCAGTAGGAGCTCTGCATTTCTATCACAGTGTTGTTGCTCTCTCAGTTTACATGGTCAATAACGTGTCTCTGTCCTGTGTGCAGTATGAGGAGGTTGCAGACAAAGATGACCTGATGGGAGTAGAAGACACTGCCAAGAAAGGTGTGTGTGTGTGTGTGTGTGTGTGTGTGTGTGTGTGTGTGTGTGTGTGTGTGTGTGTGTAGGTGTGTGTGTGTGTGTGTGTGTGTGTGTGTGTGTGTGTGTGTGTGTGTGTGTGTGTGTGTGTGTGTGTGTGTGTGTGTGTGTGTGTGTGTGTGTGTGTGTGTGTGTGTGTGTGTGTGTGTGTGTGTGTGTGTGTGTGTGTGTGTGTGTGTGTGTGTGTGTGTGTGTGTGTGTGTGTGTGTGTGTGTGTGTGTGTGTGTGTGTGTGTGTGTGTGTGTGTGTGTGTGTGTGTGTGTGTGTGTGTGTGTGTGTGTGTGTGTGTGTGTGTGTGTGTGTGTGTGTGTGTGTGTGTGTGTGTGTGTGTGTGTGTGTGTGTGTGTGTGTGTGTGTGTGTGTGTGTGTGTGTGTGTGTGTGTGTGTGTGACGCAAACATATTATGGAAACAGTTCAGGATTGAAATTACTTAAAGCTATGGTTTAGATGTTTTGAAGTGGGGCTGTATGAAATACTTAATAATAATAGATTTAATTTGTTAGCGCTTTTACAGGTGCTCAAAGATGCTTTACAGATATAGTGAAGAGAAAATAAAGGAACAACAAATAAATATATAGTTAAAGTCAAATAATACAAAAACAATCACACATTAAAAGCCAGATTGAAGAGGTGAGTTTTTTGAAGGTGGTGAGGTCAGTGCAGTCTCTGATGGGTTGGGGGAGTGAGTTCCAGAGGGAGGGGGCAGCGACGGAGAAGGCTCTGTCCCCCCAGGTCCGGTGATTGATGCGGGTGGGGATGGATAGGAGGTTGGCTTCTGATGAGCGGAGGCAGCGGGAAGGGGTGTGGTGGTGCAGCAGGTCTGTGAGGTAGGGGGGGGCCTGATTGTTGAGGGCTTTGTGAGTAATCAGGAGGACTTTGAAGTTGATTATTTGACGGACGGGGAGCCGGTGGAGGTTCTGGAGGACGGGAGTGATGTGGTCTCGGGAGCGGGTGTGGGTGTGGGTGAGGAGGCGGGCAGCAGAGTTCTGGATATGTTGGAGTTTATTGAGGAGGTTGGATGGTATGCCGTAGAGCAGTGGTTCCCAAACTTTTTGTGCCCAAGGCACACCAAAGGACAAGTAAAGATCTCAAGGCACACCTATTGTGCAAAATAGCCCTTATAACACGTGTTATCACTCATATCATGTAAAATATCTGTAAATGTGCATAATTATTTACTAATGCCAAATAAAATGTGACAAAGACAACTATATTACTCATGAAATATTTATTAACGAAATATTTCAGAAATTAATTTGAAACTTTACCAAATTAGGCTTCATCAAAGCAACAACACACTCATTTAAACCAGACAGGTCACACAATTAAAAATGAGGCAAAGGAAACTCAGCAGAAATTCAGCACAGAGAACTGTCAATGCAAGGAAGCTGCATTGTCCATGGTCCTGAACTACAAATTATAAATGTAACATTTCAGCAATCAGCATTGAAACATGTGCTATTGTAAATATTTTTGACGACTTACAAATTAGTGAGATACATGTGCCTGTCGGGGCGCGCAGAATGTTTTAATCCTTGGTGGCACTGAGGAGAGGGCCACTCGCTTGTCCTGTTCAACAGAGAGCCGTGACCTCCTGTTGTTCTTCATGTAAACCAGAGTAGAGAACGCCAACTCCAGAGATGGGGTCGTTATATATTACATATTACTTTAAAAAAAAAAAGTAATATATTACACTACTTCGTTACTATCTACATAAAGTAACTCGTTACTTTACTCGCCGAGCACGTACGAACTGCGCATGCGTGAGTGGCAATAACTTTCCTTACCAGCAGGCGGCGTTAGTGTGTATTTGTCATTCAAAACATGCGCCAACCGGAAGACAGAGAAGAAGAACAGACTCCGTGATATAAACAAAAAAGCATGTGTTCTTTGCAGGTGTTTGACGTGGTGTTTCCAGCAGTGGATAACAGCTTCTGGCCTGGACACAGTTTGCACCTCACCGTCACATTCCTGTCTATTCTTCGGACGAACTCAAAATAATGGGCATACCTCCAATCCTCGAAAGTTATCGCTGATTTTGCACGTTGAGATGTGGACGCGCAAATCGCGCAGATAACGTACATATAAACCTACAAAGTACTGATATAGTACATTTTAAAATAATTATTTTGTTGTAGTTGTATATTGCAATAATAACGTATGGTTGTCACAAAATCCCACGGCACACCCGGACTTGCCTCACGGCACACCGTTTGGGAACCACTGCCGTAGAGGATGCTATTGCAGTAGTCGAGTCGTGATGTGATGAATCAGGGTTTCAGCAGCAGAGGAGGAGAGTGATGGGCGGAGACGGGCAATGTTTTACTTAACCATCATTAGTCATATGCTAATTGTCATGTTCATATGACACAGTGTTTCCCCTACCATTGTCTTGGAGGGGTGCTATATATTTTTTTATATATATATACAGTGGCGGTGCCAGAGTATTTTTGTTGGGTAATCCATGGTAGGGCTAACCCATACAAGTCAGTATTGCAATGTAATTACATACACGTTCCCCTTGACAGTGAAACGCCACGTGTGAGGGTTAGATTATTTCCCTGTCTCAATCCAAATGAAACTGTATGAAATAAAAAGGCACATTTGTCTTGTAGTAAATAAAAAGGGCGACCTGGAGCCAATCCTGCAATTTACCCACAAGTGAAAGAGTTGACATGCTGAAAACCCAACCCCTGCAGGGGGGTCTGGGGGGAATCTCCCATGTGTACATTAAATACACATTCTGGTACTTGTAGCAAGTGTATTAGCTGTAATTAAATGAGTGATATTCACTCATACTCTCTTGAGAAGAAAAATAAATACATCTATTACTACACGGCATATTTAAAAAAATGAATGCCATTTTAGTTTTTGGTTACTTTGTTCGGAAAGCTGAACCTGCTGCTCCTCACAGAGAGAAGAGGGAAGAGGCTGTGTGAATTACTTTACATTTTTCATGGTGGGGCTAAGCCATTTCTTGGTATGGCTGTAGCCTACCCCAGCCATACCCTGGCGCCGCCACTGTATATCCAACATTGAATGTTGGATTTCATTTACCGATCCTGCAGACACCCGCTACACGGGGAGGGCCAGCTCACAGAGGAGAGGAGACACAATATAATGCTATGTATTGAGTGCATTGAGCTTTTTTAAAAAACATTTACAAATGGTTTATCACAGTGGATATCAAAAGTATTCACGATACAAAAAGCTAATAAATTAGTACATCCCGCAGCGGGGAACATTTACAGCATTTCAAAATGTAAAATAATAAAAAGTACATTTTGATTAAAGAGGCCAGCATTACATTAATAGATGGGAAACATAAATTGCAGTGGTATTGCGAGAAGAGTGAAGAAAGGATATGGGTGGTAATTTATCATTTACAATGGTTCTATGGTGTGAGACAGATGCTCATTGTCCTCCTGCTGCAGGTTTCTTCTCCAAGCCGTCTCTGAAGAGCAGGAACACCATCTTCACTGTGGGCCAGCGGGGGGCCATCCTGAGTCCTGTCGAGCTGGAGGGGCCCATCCTGGTTCCACACACAGCTCAGAGAGGAGACAGCAGGGTGAGACGTCACTAACACTCCTAAACATCTTTACATTTCCTGCTTGGTGCAAGTTTTTAGTCTTTTCAATTGATGGATAAGGTCTAAGTCCTTAGAAGGTATATACATTTCGCAGGGATATATAGAAACAGTGTTAATTTTGGCAGATTTTTTTTAGTAGTGTTTGTCATTAGATGACATCTCCTAGATATGTATTTGTAGGTACATTTTTTGTAATTATTAGTAAAAAGAATCTCCTAAATTTGAACTTTTTTCAGTGCTAGTCTAATGCTGCGTTCACACCGGACGCGATGCGATGTTTGGGGGTGGTGCGATTACATGTAAAGTCAATGAAGAGATGCGGACAGTGGCGAAATTGCTCTGACGGCGAGCATGAAGCGGTTGATTCAAATTTCGCGGCGCGATTGAGGCGATGGGAGGGGGCATCGATACCCGCTAGAGTTACGGCCCGTCCACACACAGGCATGAAAAAAATCTTGATGCTGGGCGTGTCTGAAGCTTGCCGATTTTTTGCGAGCAATGCGACCAACAACCAATCACCTGAATCTCCCGCCCCCGACATACAAAGCAATAGCAATGTTAAAACGAAGTAAACTGGATATAAAATCCCCAAACAGGCGAAAACCTACCAGTTTCACCCACTGTCTCTGCCACCTCCCTCCATGCCTGGTTCCTCCGGTTTGTATCCCGGTAGATAGTTCTGGTCGTAAAGAACCGGGTGATTTGCTACCGTCATTTCTCGTTTGGAATATGAGGAAATGAACTGCGGTCTGGCTCTCCCAGCTTGCACGCGGTTTGATTGGCTAGCGCTTGTACTGGCGGGATTTGCATAAACGGGATTTGATTGGCTGATGCCAGCTGCGAAAGCATCGGGAGCATCAAAAGTTGAACATTGCTCAACTTTTGATGCTCACGATGCTTGCAAAGCCATGCTCCGCTCCCCATAATGCAGTTCGGCGAAGATTCAAAATCTTCTACGTCACCCCATTTAAGTGAATGGGCGAAGCTTTGAAAGATTTTTTTCATGCCTGTGTGTGGACGGGCCGTTAACTCCAGCGTCAAATTCCCGTGACACGATCTCGTGGTAGCCAATCAGCGGTGAAGATCTCAGCCTGCCTTCACTGACGTTGAACCACAAAACCAAAACATCAGCCGTTAGCTCTTAGCACTCAGAGCTCACAGCTCCTCATATCTGTTCAGAAACTAGACAAAAGTTAAACAAGTACAAACCACAGACTGCCTGTGTCATGGCGAATACAGTCGCTGGTTTATTTATGTCTGTATAGGCCGTTGTTGTGAGTGTGGACGGTCGGAGCATATAACGTTAGCTTAGCCAAGCTCCATTTAGAAAACACGCATTTTAAAAGGGTTTTCCGCCTGCCGTCTGTCTGCAGACTTTTCAAAGCATTAATTCATGGTTTTTACTAACCGGTATCAGTATGTTGTTACTTCGGCATCACTTTGAAACGTGTATTACAATTAAATCACGGTCAAATATGTTCATTTTTGTTGTAGTTGTAGCCCCCTTGCCAGCGCGTCTTGTTTGAATGATGCGAATAAACACAGCTGACAATCGCGGTGAAACTCGAGCGATTAGAGCGAAGCGAATATTCGCATTGCGTCCGGTGTGAACGCAGCAAAACATGTGCCAAATGGACGGTGGCTGACAGGTGCAAACACGCTAAAACTTTCAAAAACATTTAAATTAGGAGAAACACGCTTACTAAAAGCGCTGAATAAACAAAGAGCTGCAAGAAGCTAAAAACATTTAGCAGCATGTTAGCAAGGCATTGCCAGAAGCCATTCATAAAATAAGCATTGATGGATGACACAACATGCGATAAACAGAATAAGTTAGCATACAGTGTAGTAGACGAACATCTTACACAAATATAATATATACAGAAATAGAATTCTATAAACATACATTATACATTTTGCAGCTTTTTTTATAAATGTAAATGCATGAGGTAGAGTTTGAGAACAAAATGCACAAATTATTATGAGTTATTGAAAGAAAAAAAAGGGAAATCTGTTTTTAAAAAACAAACATACAGCAGGGAGAATATATTGAACATTTCAGTCCATCTCGCCTAGTACGCCAAGTTGTAGAAGAACATGTATTCCAGAAACGCTGATGTGAAGCTTCACTTATTGTGAAGGTAAACTTCTGTTGTTGCAATGTTGAGGTAGAATGAAGGAGTCTGGAACCGTTGTTAGCCAAAAGCACTGAAGAGTTTATTGATCACAGTACATTAATTACATACGGCCGGGGAGATCATCTAAGTTTCACACATGCCCAGTGCTCCACCAGCGATCTCTGAACCAAAAGACACAAAACATCTAACCAACACGAGGAGAGGCGGGCTTCCAGAAAGCCCGCGTATAATCAATAGCCGATGCAAGACAATGATCTGCTTGTCTCAAAGAGATGCTGCCAGGTCAACCCTCGGACATAGGAGACGCGTTTGACCTGTGACCTCAACCCACAGAGAAGTCTCTGACTGACTACAAGCAGATGTTTGCAGTATCACAGACTCTAAGGAACCATAAAAGACTCTATAAACAGATCAGATGAAAATATTCTCTTACACTTATCACCATGTACTGAGGTGGAGGTCAACACTGACATCTTGTGACAGATATTTGTTTTGGTATTTAAAATAATATTTATTAAAAACAATGTTCTGCCAACAAACCTTTTACAGCTACTGATTGACAGTAATCATACAACAAGTCAAAGTTGTTTCAAGCAATAATCAGTTATATGTTGATACATCCCACAGAAATGCCAGTTTTATATATTATTGTATGTAGAATAAAATGTTAACAGGGTAAGAAAGTAAAAACTAGTGGTAAATGTACCATTGCAATTTATATAACGGGCTGTATTTTTATTTGTATGCAACGTGAACTTTGTATTGTTTTTTGTGCAAGTTAGGAATACATAAATATTACGATGTGTCCTAGGTTTACCTTTGTATGTGATTGTCATAAATTGAAATGGGTGTTTAAAATATAAATATTCCATAATCTTTCACACACTTGACTTTGCTTTCATGCCATCATTGCCTTTGTAAGCTCAGAATATTTAAGTATATCTTTAGTACTATGTACTAAATGTAATTCATTTTAAACTGAGTCATGGCGACAAGAATCCAAATCAAATTGTGCAATAGATTTTGTGTATGATGTAAACACATATGTTCCTCCCGCAGTATCCCTATGAGACGCTGTTCCGCAGCCAGCACTACGCTCTGCTGGACAACGGCTGCAGGGAGTTCCTCTTCCTCTCCGACTTCTTCATGGTGACAGGAAACTCTGCCCTCGACCTCTTCAACAGCATCATGGGAAAAACTCTCAGCATGTTCCTGGTACGACCAAGAAACCTTCTCTGTTGTGCTCAAACCTTCAGCTCCTCTTATCTCTACATTAGAGACAACATGGTGGCATATTGTGATATTCAGTGTATTGTGTGTGTGCTCCCTCCCTGCAGAAGAGCATGTCCACTTATGTGTCCGACTGCTACGACAGCATCGCTGTCTTCCTCTGCATCCACATCATCCTCCGCTTCAGAGCCATCACCGTCAAGAGGACCATCCCCGCTCTCGACAAGTCAGTGTCATCAGTTAGTCATTTCAAAAGCAAACTATGCCTGAGAAGCATTTCCACCCAGCAGGGGGAAGACACAGCTTGGTTGTGTCTGCAGACATTATCCTACCGGTGCAGTGATGACATATCTTTGTAGGATAACCTGAAAGTTAGCATCATAAGGGCTTCCTCATCAAAAAACTTGATTTGGAGAAAATAAGATCCGTGACAAACACACGTTTTGTTCAGCAAAATAATCTCCACATATTAACACTGCTGTTAACATTGGGCTATAAACAAACCACATCACAGTCGCTTGACTTCACGTCACCACCGCTAAGCTAAAGCTAAAGTTCTGCACGATGACGTTTAGTAGTCTCATTTAGACTTTTGTAGCAACCGCCATTTTGATGAGCTTCAGACATTCACCAGTGCGGTATTTACTGACATATTTTAGTTGTAGAACAAAACGTAAACATATCTAAAGCTCGTGTTAACCTCAGGCCTTATTTCTGGCTTCTAACAAAAACGTCAAAAAAACGTTGACATCCAGATGAGGGAGACATAAGTGGTGAAATCTTAACTACTGTCTGGGACTCATTCCTGCACCACTCAGTTGAGCTCTAGTTTCCTCCACCATCTGCTCTCTGCATTATATCCTAGATTAGTGTGTGTGTGTGTGTGTGTGTGTCAGGTACTGGGAGGCGGTGTTGGAGCTGCTGTGGCCGAGGTTTGAACTGATCCTGGAGATGAACATCCACAGCATCAGAAACACAGACCCTCAGAAACTGGGAGTACTGGATACCAGACCGCACTATGTAGGTCTACACACACACACACACCCACACCCACCCTGCATATCACCGCTTTCAACAGTGTGTGTGTTTGTTGGTTTCAGATCACTCGTCGTTACGCAGAGTTCTCGTCGGCCATCGTCAGCATCAACCAGACGTTTACCAACGAGAAAACACACACTCTGCTCGGACAGCTGCAGGTACACACACACACACACACACACTCACACACACACACACACACACACACACACACACACACACACACACACACACACACGTTTATAGACAGTTTTGTCTGAAATTACAATGGGCTTCAATGGAGGAATGTTGAAAGTTTTTGTCACTTCATGCCCTCAAGAGGCATTTTGTTGAATTATTTTTTGCTTAATTATTTGTCATTTTTCAAGCTATGAGATGTTTTCCTACGTTTGTCATGAAAAATTATGTCTCAAGAATGTAGGGTTTGGGAATTATGGCAGTTTAAAAAAAACATTTCAAGATTTCTCACCCTCTAGCTGTGACATCATGCACTCTAGTTAATGTTAAAATCTGAAGAAAACCTCTAAAACAAGGTCTGAACAAATGTTAATATCTCTAAAAGTAAGAATCAGATTTAAAAGTTGTATTACACAAATAATGTCAGAAAGATTTGTAACATTTTAAAGTTGGAATGAGGTTTCTGAGTGAAAGTATGAATGAACAGTTTGCAGTTGAAGTCGCATGAAGATTTGTTGAAGTCTGAAGATTTCCTCCATTGACTTCAATGTTAAAAATGTGATGTATTATGGGATGTATCTCTGGAATTATGAAAGTTATGAATGAGAAAAGTAATAGCCATCGATTCCCGACCGAGCTGAACGTTTTGATGTTTGAACGGAGTTTCTGCGATGTTCAATGCGGGAGGAGAAGAGGGCCAAAATACCGGCGGAATAATAATAATACACTTTTATTAACAGCATTCCCACTAACTGACTTTGATAACAAATGAAGTTACTAGGGCAGAAAATATATGCAAAAAATAACCAATTACGTACTTAAAGGGAAAATTGAAGAAACAATCTGAAATGCATATCTTTCCTCTCACCCTTAGTGCTATGTAACAATCTAGATTTGTGTAAGAGCTGCTGAGTCTCTGGTTTCTCCTTTAGAAGAGATACTGTATTCGCTGCAGGGATGTCTGGCTCTTCTTAAAGGAAATCAGTCGTACAAAATGAAACCTGAGTGTTTGTTTTCCAGGTGGAGGTGGAAAACTTTGTTCTGAAGATGGCGGCAGAGTTTCCCTCCAGAAGAGACCAGCTCATCTTCCTCATCAACAACTACGACATGATGCTCAGCGTCCTCATGGTCAGCCTCACATGCTGCTCCATCTCCTGTTTTCATTCTGATCTACTCTGATTTCCTGTTGTCATGTGAAAACGTTTATCAAAGGTGTCCTCATTCCTGCTCCGTGTCCTCATTCCTGCTCCGTGTCCTCATTCCTGCTCCGTGTCTTCATTCCTGCTCCGTGTCCTCATTCCTGCTCCGTGTCCTCATTCCTGCTCCGTGTCCTCATTCCTGCTCCGTGTCTTCATTCCTGCTCCGTGTCCTCATTCCTGCTCCGTGTCCTCATTCCTGCTCCGTGTCTTCATTCCTGCTCCGTGTCCTCATTCCTGCTCCGTGTCCTCATTCCTGCTCCGTGTCCTCATTCCTGCTCCGTGTCCTCATTCCTGCTCCGTGTCCTCATTCCTGTCCTCATTCCTGCTCCGTGTCTTCATTCCTGCTCCGTGTCTTCATTCCTGCTCCGTGTCCTCATTCCTGCTCCGTGTCCTCATTCCTGCTCCGTGTCTTCATTCCTGCTCCGTGTCTTCATTCCTGCTCCGTGTCTTCATTCCTGCTCCGTGTCTTCATTCCTGCTCCGTGTCTTCATTCCTGCTCCGTGTCTTCATTCCTGCTCCGTGTCCTCATTCCTGCTCCGTGTCCTCATTCCTGCTCCGTGTCCTCATTCCTGCTCCGTGTCCTCATTCCTGCTCCGTGTCCTCATTCCTGCTCCGTGTCTTCATTCCTGCTCCGTGTCCTCATTCCTGCTCCGTGTCCTCATTCCTGCTCCGTGTCATCATTCCTGCTCCGTGTCCTCATTCCTGCTCCGTGTCCTCATTCCTGCTCCGTGTCATCATTCCTGCTCCGTGTCCTCATTCCTGCTCCGTGTCCTCATTCCTGCTCCGTGTCATCATTCCTGCTCCGTGTCATCATTCCTGCTCCGTGTCTTCATTCCTGCTCCGTGTCTTCATTCCTGCTCCGTGTCATCATTCCTGCTCCGTGTCTTCATTCCTGCTCCGTGTCTTCATTCCTGCTCCGTGTCATCATTCCTGCTCCGTGTCATCATTCCTGCTCCGTGTCCTCTTAGATGATGGAAATTCAAATCTTTGTTTTTCTGTGTCCAGGAGAGGGCAGCAGACGACAGTAAGGAGGTGGAAGGTTTCCAGCAGCTGCTCCTGGCCAGGACCCAGGTAAATACCACAGAGGGTTGCTTTTATTCTCTATCAGTCCCATTCAGATGAAATATCTCTTGTACAATGAGACATCTGAAACTACGTTACCCTTCCTCCTTTCTCTGTCCTCTTTGTGCTCAGGGCTACAAGTGTGACTACAACCGGTTTTTAAAATAAGGTGTTAACTATGTTAAGCTATATACCCAAGGCACATATGGAAATGAAATAAATGAAAACATGTTACCAGGGATCCTTATGAATTACAAGAAAATACCACTTAATTGGGAGGGAAATGTATTCATTTGTTATTATTATTATTACTACCCTTTTTTATGAAAACTGTTTTAATGAATGATTCCTGCATTTGTAATTTTAATCTCAGAGGATCTTCTTTCCAAGGTTCTTTTTCTTTCTTTCTTTTTTTACCCACAATGACTTATTACGCCATTATATATATTTCCTTTTATTTAACTTCAGGAATAAATACATAATACATGTATATAAATTAAAACTTTCAAAGTATGAATTCTTAACGTTTAAAAAGCTGTGAAATAAAGCAGATTAACTGTCAAATCTTTCCAAATGTTCACATTTACTAAAACTGTGGGACCCTGACTTCCTCCAGGAGTTTATCGAGGAGATTCTGTCCCCCCCCTTCGGAGGGATGATCGCCTTTGTGAAGGAGGCCGAGGCTCTGATGGAGAAAGGGCAGCTGGACCGACTGAAGAACGATGAAGGTGAGAAGAGTCCATTTGATTCAGCTTGATCCCTCTCCTCCAGTGTGTTCCAGAGCTTTGTGTGCATGTCAATGCTCTGCAAAGGCTGCAACCCCTGTGTTCCCTCCAGAGGCTAGTGGGGCCCTTTGAAAACATTTTTTTTTAAAACGCGTAATTGAAAACTATATTAAGTATGTTTTAAAGAAATAAGGAATACAAATATATCTGGAATAAGCCAAAGCTCAGAAATAATATATATATATAACCTCATTAAAGCTGAACAGAGCTGCCACTTCAACTCAGACGCGCCAGCGTGAGCCGGATTCTTTCACTTCCCGCTTCAGTTTCTTTTTACTGATGTATTCATCAGTTTTGTTTCCTCTCTTTCTGGCTCAAAGATTCAGCTGCCCACATCCTATTTTTCAGATAGCACACTTCTCGCTGTTTCCTCTCTCACTCACCATATTATGCCTGTGTCACATAAGTCATATATGTGTGTGTGTGTGTGTCTTTGTGTGCAGCTCGTATCACTCAGCTGATTCGGGGCTTTTCCAGCTCGTGGAAACAGTCTGTGGAGGCGATGAGTCAGGATGTGATGAGGTCCTTCACCAACTTCAAGAATGGAACCAGCATCATACAGGTGAGACCCCCCCACCCCCCAGAAATGACATTACAACATCCAATACGAAAGTGCATCTGAAACAAGCTCTAATAACATAATGAGAAATCTATGAATCCACTGATTATTATTATCATTATCATTATTATTATTATTTAAAAAATTAGATTTGAGTCCTGCAAACACAGGACCCAAAACCATGAATAAAAAGAGATGGACAAATGAATTACAATAAATATGTCAAAACTAAATTACACAGGTTTGAAGGGATTGATTTATTTCATTTTTCATTGAATCGTTTATTTAGCAGGGAAAACGCACATTAATGAACACTTAAAACCAAAAAATGCAAATAGTGTAAATATGCCGGATTTTAGCTTGAACAAAGAACATGACAATTATAAACATAGCAAAAACAAAATACATGATATGCAAAAAGTGCAAAAGAGCAAGAGCAGCACACAAGTATTTACAACATGGAGGTACAATATAGCAGCTACAACATATAAAGTGCAAGAGAAGACAAAAGAGCTACCTAAAGTGCAGGAGGAGATACCCCTGTGTTAAAGTGCATTTAGCGGTGATTGCACGTCTGTTTGTTTCTCATCTATTCTTTGAGTTGACCTTTAAAGCTATTGAGAGTGGGACAATCCCGTATCTCAGTTGGGAGGCTGTTCCACAAAGAGCTGCCTTTAATTAGAGGACATGGCGTCCAAAAGTGGTCCGTCTGCGGTGGACTTCAGTCTCCTCTGGTTTATGACCTAGTGCAGCGTCCAGTGTGTTTTCTGTGGATGAATTCCCCTAAGGGGGGGGGGGGGGGGGGGGCTGTCCATGTAAACATTTATAAAAAAGCACATAGGCCTATGGTCAAAACTCAAGACATTGCGTTTATCAAGGATGGTACAGTGGTGGTATGAATGTGGCTGTCTGTCAAACACCTGGATAGCTCTCTCGTACAGCTGTTCTATGGGTGTCAGGGTTGTGGCATTTATAAAAGCTAAGACTATTGCAACAAAAACAAAAGAAAGACAATATTACACACATATATACACATCATATAGTTATGTAGGAAACTGAGTGCAGTCGGCCAGCAGAAATGGGTTGTTTAAAAGTGATGATGGGGTGAACGAGGACATCCCAACTCATACCGGAGGACTCCTCTGTCCTCGCGTCTTATGGGGGCGGAGCTAAGACGTGAGGAAGAGACGCTCGTGAAGGAAATGAGGAGGCCAGATAGGCAATTGGGATGAACCTGTAGTGTTCTTCTCTCCCCATGTTCCTCCTGCACAAAGCTCCTTTATCTAGATATGGAGTCCTTGTGATGGCTTCTCAAATGTTAGTCTAAACACTCACATACCGAAGAGCACTGTGAACTCTGATCAGCTATGAGCAGCTCATGGCATACACATATATATACATTTTAGGGTTTGAATTGATTTAAAAACAGGTAAGAAATAGCAAAAGAATGACTTAATAATATTATATAATATTCACAAAGACCTCTTGTCAATGTGAACGGGTCTCCGTGCTGAGTAGCAAGCCTCCTCAAAATAACACCCATCATTGAGTGTGTTATTTGTATATCCAATGCAGCCCCCTCCATAATACTCGTACGGGAAACATGCAGAGAACAAGCAAGGAGAATAAAGACATGAGTCCTGGGCTGTGGACTCCCACGAGGCGACATTCACCACATGACTGTTTTTAGAGGTTACATTTTTATCATTTTTACAATTCATGGACGAGGCTCATGGTCCTTTAAAACACTGAATAATCTCTCCTGAGGGAAACATGACAATTATTGTTTTGTTTTCACGTTGGCTCTGAGTAACATCTAGTCCTTCTGAGATCTGAAACTCATCAACACATTCTCCAGAAAAGGAAAGTATGATGTCTGACGTGCTGCTGTGTCCTCACTGAATCGTATCTCAGAGTAACTCATGTTTTCCTGAAGTATTGATGCTTTTGTTTGAATTCTGTAAGCTTTATTACCAGTAGATCTGTGTTCTGTCCAAGTGTAAATAAAGGTTCATTGATTGAAAGTGATGATAATAATCAGTAATGGTTAATGGAGCTGCATCCATTATTAGACTAATCATTTAGTCTATCAACAAAAACATTAAATTAGGTTTATAGCCCTTCAAATATGGAGATGTTTTGCTTTTCTTTGTTCTATATAAATCAATAATTTGGGTCTTGCACTGAGCAAACTTGATTATAGACATCTCATTGGACATTTATCTCTATTTTATGATATATTGTGAACAATTTAATCTGGCAGATAATTAGTTGCAGCCTTTCTCTGGAATCTATCAAAAGAATCTTTATTTTAATATTGCTACAACAAATCTAATTTCTCACCCATTAAGTCCAACCAACATGACCAAAAGTCATACCACAGGGAGAAGCGTACCCTGGGCCACTGAAATCTTATTTATAAATGTATTTTATTATTACAATTTATCAGATTATCAGATTACTGAAAAGTAAATATTTGGAAAAATATATTTTAGTTAGTTCAAAACTGTAAAGTGTCAGTTAGGTGTTTTTCTTTTGTTATGTTAAAAGCATGATTTTGTTTTCAGTCAAATGGCAAAACATGAAAATCTGTTTGACTAAATGTTTAACCTAGCATTCCCATAATGCAATGGTTTTATCCAACATGAATTCAATGGAATACATTTAGTTTTCATTCACAGCTAATAATTACATTAGTCAATGATCTTTTTTTGGGTTAGGGCTCACTTTCTGTGTTTTGAAATGATATATATTTTTGTCTGATCATTATCACAAAGGGAAGTAGGAAGAGGAAATAGACTAACCGAGAAGAGAGGAAGCGAGTGGTATTAAAGTCATGACTCTGTTGCAGGGCGCTCTGACCCAGCTGATCCAGTACTACCACGGCTTCCACAAGGTCCTGAACCAGCCCAGCTTCAGGAGCCTGGCCGTCCGCTCGGAGCTCATCAACCTGCACCACCTCATGGTGGAGGTGAAGAAGCACAAACCCAACTTCTAACAGGAAGCTGCGTCAGCGGGGACACACACCTGGAGTCTCCTCTAGTCTCCGCCTCTGACGTTTATTCTGTAAAGCATTAACAAAACACACTTTGCTGCATATTCCCTCCAGCTGCAGATCATATCAGTCGGTATCCATATGGACCAAGTTATTGAATGTTTCTATTTATTTCATCTCTTTAGAGATGTGGGGGATAATCGATTACCCTAATAATAACAATCAAGCTGTGCATTTAGACTTACGATGTATGCAAACAATATTACTTATGATAGATGAACATATGTTAACGTCCACTCAGTTCTGCTGCTTATAGTTTTCTGCTGAAATTCAAAACATGTTAAAATAAATGAAAGGAAATGCTCTTTTATTTAACAAATTAAACATTGATGTGAACACAAACGCACCGATGCAAAAAGGTATGACAGTTGCAGTTTTCTACTGGCGCTCTCTTTGAAATAATTCCGATCCCTGACAAGAGTCGCAGTATGGCGTTGCAGTTAAGTGACGTCTAGTGGGTACCTCTTTCTTAACAGTTGTATGGACGGTAATAGAGCTCTCAAAGAAAATACATGAATGGTCTGAGAGCGCAACATCAGTCACCACAAGCTTAGAGATGTTCAGACCCTTGGATACATGTAAGTCCAGAGTGTGCCCCTTATTGTGCGTCGGACCCTTCACATGCTGAGTCAGTCCATAATTATCGATAACAAAAAACAGTTCTTTAGCCCCTCTGTCCTGGGGGTTGTCAACATGGATATTAAAATCGCCAACAATGATTAAATGGTCAAAGTCAATACAAACTATAGACAGCAACTCGGTAAAATCATCAAAAAAGCTTGCACAGTATTTAGGTGGTCTGTAGATGTTTAGGAAAAGAGCTCGAGAGGAGAATTTCAACAGAAGGGCAACATATTCAAAAGAAGCAAAGTTTCCAAACATAGTCTGCTTGCATTGAAATAAGTCATTAAACAAAATAGCTACTCCACCCCCTTTCTTATGTAGTCTTGCCTGACTCATAAAACTAAAGTTGGAAGGAGTTGATTCTATAAGAACAGCTGTGCTGTTGTTTTGGTCTAACCAAGTTTCAGTTAAAAACATAAAATCCAGGTTGTGCTTGGTGATAAAATCATTGATTAAAAATGATTTACCTGCTAAAGACCTGACATTTAATAGAGCCAGTTTAAGTGTGTTCGATATACTATCACTCTGATTGCTTGTGATAGACCGTGGAGTGCATGGAATCACTGTTAAATTCCATACATTTAAACAGATGCTTTTGGATTTTCTGTTTTTAACCTGAGTCACCAACCTTCTGTGTATGTTGGTTATAACAGAAATGGGTCGCTGCACTGGCATAGAAGCATCTGGTCGTTGGGTGGCGCCAGAGAACAGAAGGAAATAATGGCTGGCCTGGGGACTATTTTCAGCGGTGGATTAATCCACACAAAGCGTTTCAAAGACAAAACAATATCAGAATTGGATTCAGAATATCTTAGAAACAATAAACAGAAGAAAGCATGAAAGCAGCAGAGAGAAGAATACAAAATAGAAGGGACTAAATTATTAATGTAATTAATCATACAGAACACCACCACACTGACCCCTTTACAGACTCATTCCCTCACTTAATTGGAGTGAGTATGGAAGATCTGGTGTGCCTTTTCTTATTTATTTAGCTGTGCAAAATTAATATTTTTGCACTTATTTGCGTAAAAAGTCATTCCAGTGGAAACAAATGTAGGCTATGTGGCGTTTAACAATAAATAATGGAAATATGACATGGTTGTGTTAGATGGCTTTATTTTTATTTATTCATGAACTCAATGAATTTCAACACTGGGGGCTAAATACAAATATCCCACAAACAGGTGACTCAATCTTTATAGAAATTAATCAGTAGTATTTACAACAACAAAAAGTTCTTATTAAATACATACACACACACACACACACACACACACAAACATACATCCCATATACATGCATAAACAGTCTTGTGTTGTATTATTCGCCAAACATTTTCACAGTTTTTCCACTCTCTGATTTGAGAAATTGTTGTACTTCGTATTTTTTTTTCTTTACTCCTGAAATATTTTTGGCACTATATTTTTCCCAGTCATGAAACAATCCTACATCTCTCTCCAAAACACTTCCATTAGGAGAAAGGCGCTGCACTTTCAAAAACGATGCAAATAGAAAACCACAGGTGTTCCAAAACACATGGAGAAACATCTTCACAAACTTGACAACACATGCGCAGCGTTTAGGAAACATTCACCAACCTGACTAAACGTGTGCAGCATTTACCGTAAGCGCTGCGTAAAAGAAACGCAAGAAGCTCAAAACACAACGGAAACCAGGGGACACTAAAAGGTGACGCACACAGGTGGGACTGGAGCGCTTGGTGACTGACGTTCAGAATTATAAAGTTGGACAACTGTCTCTGTTTGCAGAGTTAGTCTGTTTCATAACTAAGTGTTCTTTTCAGTATATTTGAAATGACTAAGCTAGCTAGCTACCATAGCTAGCTAGCTCACAGCAGATCTGCAATAATATCAGCAGGATCATGATATCACATTTGATCAAATAAGCCGATAAAACATTTTAGGACATGTGGCCAATTTACAAACCACGAAGGTCACCAAGCGCTCCGGTCCCAGCTGTGTGCGTCACTTTTGAGTGTCCCCTGGTTTCCGTTGTGTTGCAGCGGTTCCTTTATGCAGCACATTTAGTAAACCCTGCACATGTTTCCTCAAGTTGGTGAATATTTTCTCAATGCTGCACATCTGCTGTCAAGTTGGTGAAGATATATTTATTCATTTACATGTGTTTCGGCACATTTGTAATTTTTTGCATAATTTTTTTTAATTGCAAGGCGTTTGTCCTAACACAAGTGTTTAAGGCTGTTGTAGCACGTGTGCCTGTGTCGGCCACCGTAGGTTTGGATTGTTGTTAACATAGAGCATGACTCCAAATTATTGTAAAACATGTTTTGTTCCAACATTTGATACCATATTGGTTTTAGTGGTCAGCCTGTTGAAGACAAATGCAAACTTAACTTAAATTCACTGCAATCCAACAAAGGTCCGATCTAACTCATTAGCTTGTAGGTTAAAGTTCAGAAACACTACGATAATATCTAGGAAAAACAGAACTTACATTGTTTGCTGGCTATAGTGTATAGTCTTTTGAGATGAAGCATTTAGAAAACTGTGATAAGAACAGACAAGAGAAGAAGAGCCGAACAGCTGCCTCTGACAGCACCATCTGGAACACATCAGAGGGCGGAGATAGAGGTTATTTCAGATCACTTTTTATTGGAGTTACTTCAAGTGAATTGTCTTTTGGTCTGGTTCTTGTCCCAGAATATGCCAAAAGATGATTCCTCACCTGTTGGTACTTGATGTTCCATTGTCTGGGCGAGTTTGACAGCTTTGGAGCCTTCTGTCAAAACACATAACATTAAAATCAGTTTCATGTGATAGAGATGGAAATTCATCTAACATTTGTGTGAAAGAAACATTTGATGCAGAAAAAAGGGACAAGACAGAGGCGTGACAGTTTTGAAATGACAAGAGAATATTTAGAGACATCTTCTTGGATTTAGAGAAGCTGGAATGGACATTTTATCTGCAGAACAACATTGCAAAAACCCAATGGTGAAGTTAGGAACTTTTAGTCAAAAAGGGCTATCAGTTTGATATCTGAATGAAATAATGCAGGTGGGATAAAATGACTTTAAACATCTCAAGTCAAACAATATCTGCATTAACCCTCATGTGCCCACGCTTTATTCACCCATCACTGCAGCAGCACACACAGTCCGGGGTGTGGGGTATAATCATTTGTATCATTCTTTAAATAATTTGAACATTGTATTCCAATAAAAATCCTTTGGATTTGGGAGGAATAGTAATGGCATTTTGCCCAACTAGATGCTTCCATTAACATGACGGGTATACAATGTGGTTGCAGTGTCGAGTGATGCAGGTATGATGTACTTTTTAGGGCAACCCGTTAGTTAGCATAGCAAGGGCTCCCTCGACAATTAGCAAGGGGATTTACCGTTGGATTATTGTAGAAAATACGATCTGTGGCTAACAAACCTTCATGGTACTTATACATTTTGTTCAGCAAGATAATCTCCACATATTAACACCACTTTTAGAATAGTTGAAGCAATGCAATTTCCGGAAATGTAAAGCTAATGTTAGGCTATAAACCGTCTACATGAGCGTCAAATGACTTAATGACACCACCGCTAAACTAAAGGCGGCTAATCTTTAGCTAGTAGTAGTCTCCTTTAGCTACTTGTTAGCAACCACCATTTTTAAGACACATAGGAGCATCAAACATTCACCAGCGGGGTATTTACTGACATACAACATAAAATGAAAATCTCTATAGCTTGCGTTAACCACAGAGCTCATTTCGGGCATCGAACCAAAAACTAATTCATCGATGTATTGGTATTACAACTTTCAAGATACGGGTAATGTATTTTTCAAAAGGATACCCAGCCTACCAAATAAACGTATCCAGCTAGAAAGCAGGGGAGGAGTCAAAAAAGGAGAGCAGGGGTCCAAACATATGCATGGGAATACGTGGATATATACAAGGCTTAGGCAAGTAAGGACAAGTGAACAGGTGTGCAGCTGGGTGGGGGGGGGTTGAGGAGAACACAAGAGTTACTGGAGACCAGTAGAAGGGTCTGGATGAAAGTGAATGTATGGTAAAAGCAGACTAGCAAAGAGATCAGTGTGACATTTGTAGAAACATGGGATATGTTCTTGCTATATTTAAAGTTAATTAAGTAAAACCATGAAGAGAAGAGAAACTTTTTCAACAAAACATTTCTTGGTTCAGGACTGTGGTTTTAATCCTTATTCAGAGTGGATTGGAATTACCTGTGGACATTGTGAGATATTCAATCTGGATACCTGTGTTTCCAGAAGGAGAAGATCTTCACATTCCAGCCTGGTCTCCTAAAAATTACGTTCTTAAACAACCAAACTGCCTTCTCCATTAGGTTTCGAGGGGCCACAGATTGCTCTCCCTGATTAAAACTGTGTTCGTAATCCAGGAGAAAAAATCAGTTTCCCTCGAAACCGGCTGAGAATGGAGTTTAGTTGTATCAGAACTTAATTTATATGGTTGCGCATTTCAGAAGCTGGAATCAGAGAGCATTTTGCGTTTCTTTAAGCTTGATGAAAGACTCAAATAGTGAAATATAAGAAAAGTAGGAGAATGAGCCTCTCACCATTAACAGACAGCAGCACGGTGCTGACACCGAGGCCCTGCTCGTCCATAACTTTGTACATTCCTTCGTCCGAGCTCTTTAAGTTCTTTATTGTCAGCCGCTCATTTGCCACATCTTGCTCCATTCGTTCACTGTCTTCCTCCCCCCTCATCCACACAACCAACCACTCTGAGCTGTTCCTGTGGAGCACAGAGCACTTCTGTTAGAGGCAAAAATAATAAAACAATGATGAAAGGTTTGTATGCTACGCTAGAACAGTGATTATTTCATGATCCTATGCTGAAAATCTATTTGGACACTTTTCTTTGCACACTGCCATGTTGTACCATGAACACTTGCACAGTGAATGAATTTCGCCCATGTATCGTTGGCTTAATCAACATGGCTGTTTGCCCTCACAGGAAGTAACCTCTGTTAGCCAGCTAGCAATGTTATTGTTTGCCGTAGAAAATCATTACAGATCGCTAGATTAACCCAATAAAGTATTTGCATTGAGACTTAAAACCGAACATAATAAGAGTGGTGCCGTGACACGTCCTAAAACCCGGAAGTAAGCTGCGATCGGGTTCCCTCGACAAAAAAGCAATGGGATTTCTCCATAGGGTTTTGGAAAATAGCTGGAGATAAATGCACGTTTTGTTCAGCCGGATAATCTCCACATGTCTACCCTACTTTTATAATCATAAATCTATCGATTAGATTTATGATGTGCCGCTTACTTCCGGGTTTTAGGACGTGTCACTGCACCACTCTATTGAGACACAAAACTAGTTCTTATTTGATATTGTTCGTCGTTTATTTGGACGTTTTCAGTGGTATGTATGTTTTTTTGTTTTTGTTTCTTCTTCTTTTCTCGCCTGTTTTGATTGTCTGTCCTGGCCTTATTAGTTGTTGTTGTTCCCCATCAGCCCAGCAATCACCTGACCTCCTGTGCACATATCCCCTCTATAGTTCACATTATATTTCAGTTCTTCTTTTCCCTTTAGTCATTATCGGATTCCTGTAGGTTGTTTTACAGGAAGTTCTGTTCTCTTTGTCTTTCCTTTATTACACCTAAGAATGAAAGTATTTTCGGTTAAAAGATTCCATTCTCCTACATTTGAGTCCATACAACTCCACTTCCTGTGAAAGTCATTTTCTCAGAGGGCAAAAAGCCTTAAAGTTTACTCTGCATCAAACAGTCTGATGTGTAAATACTACCTGGCTCCTGTGTCTCCGTGGAGCTTAAACTAAACTAAAGTACAGCACATGTTCCAGCACCGCCTCATGACAAAACTCAATACTAAATATAATAGGGAGAAACCAATGAAACATTTTATTAAGAAATTAGATCTTCCTACTTTCGAAAGTTCTACGTCAAGTGTTTTTTCTAAAACCCACGATTCATTCTCTGTTGAGCTTTCATCCGGTGAATCATATTTTCACTTGCAGCCTGTAATCTGTGTTACTCTGACGCAAACAGCCATTTCGTAGGAGTGTGGGGAGTGGAAGCAGAGACCAAAGGAGCAAATAATAGATGAGAGAAATGTGAAATGAAAAGAGTACACGTGAAATGTAGGATGATGTGAAGGGGAGCAGCTTACCTGCCCTGGAACACTACCTTCACAGAGTGTTGGGTGTACAGATCCAGAACTAAATCCTCACCTGGACCTCGAGACAGAATGGATTTATAGTCTAAGAGGAAAAAGAAAACAATATTCAAAAGAGTAAAGACCTAAGCATCATTAAAGACTAAATAAATGCGATCACATAAGAATATATGAGAGAAGATATAAGACAAAAACTGGAAAAAACTGAAGTACAAAGCAGAATGAGAACAGTAAATGAAAAGAGTATTACGTTTGAGATTAGAATTGGGGCAGAAAGAAAAATTAGACGCGAAGAGAAAGCAGAAGATGAGAAAAAATTGAAATAGTGATGGAGAAAGAATAATATGAGAACATTAGGTAACATTGAATGATAGAATAGGAAAAGAGTTATTCGTTATTATTAAATCTACAGGCAAAGTAATAAGAGATAAAGATAAAATCCTGGAAGAAGACGATGTGAGATGCAGTGGTGGGCCGTCAGGGCCAGCAAGGCCTTCTCTGCTGGCTCAAACACTATCCATGACTAACCTTTTAATATCGTTTTTTCATTAACATGTATTACATTATTTCCAACAGTCTATTCTCTTCATGTCATAGCTTTTCTCTGTAGCGCTCGGTTGCGCTGCGTCCAGTAACAGTTATTAATGTTGGAGCTTTTATCCAATCATATTTCAGTCAGAATGTGTTGCTGGGTCAAATCAATCTGCCTGAGGCCTTCAGACTCAACAGTGCGGGCATTGCAGCTTAAAACGAATGGCAATGAAACTGTTGCATTGACCAATCAGATTTGGAGTTGTATAGGCTATAATGACTTATATTTAAATGTTTTTATATTTTCTTGTCATTTATTAAGTAAACATTGATGCTTCTCCTAGAGATGATGTATGTGGCGCAGCTGTGGCTGCAGTGAAAGGAGACTTGTTGAATTGTGTTATTTTGGTTTCTTGCTTTAGTAACGGCATTCATTCTCGCAACATTAGATACCTGTCTGTGATGCAACGCTCTGTTTATACTGCATTTCTGTATGATATTATGGTTTCTATAGGCGTGACGTCGTAATAATGGTATTAACAGGTGGATTTGTTCAGGTAGGAAACTACTGAAGTCCTAGGTGTGAAATTCACGGCCCAATACTGATGAGATGAAATAAAGAATAGAAAGATAAGCCCAACTCACCGGATACAGACAGCTTGACACTCTGAATGAAGACCTTGGTTTTGGCGGACCTCACTCATCCACCAGCATGAAGCTCTCGTATCTCCCCGTGTCTCCAATCTGCACGTCACTGATGACCAGAGAACAGTCCCCGGACTTCAGCTTCTCCCTCTGGAACCTCCATCCGGCCCTGAAACTCTTCCGCCTGCACTTCTTCTTCCCCCTGCATCTCAAATACGGTGTCGGCAGGGCTGGTCCACTGGATGTAGCAGGTGGAGGGCGCCCCCTCCCCCAGGCGCTGCTTCCAGCTGCAGGGAAGCACCGCCTGGTTTCCTACCTTGAAGGTGACGGACAGGGAGCTCGTGGCGGAGGACAGGGAAAAGGAGTCTGGAAGACATGGAGGAAAGTGTCCTCAACACGGGGTGGGAAGAAGTGAAGTACAAATACTTTGTTACTGTACTTAAGAAGATATTTCTGGTATCAATACCACTATTTCTTTTTATGACAACTTTTTACTTTTACTTCTTACATTTTCCAAACAGTGCTTGTTACCTTAGATTTAATCTGCATATGGTGGCGTGATCATTATTATTTAGAGTCATTGCGCGCCTATTTCAACCTAATGTCATACAGGAAACACATTTGGTGTATCCATCATTTCTTGGTGTTCTCTAAAGAAGAGGCACAATCGAGAACTCAGCTCAAGGCATTTCCCATAATCCCTGAAGCTGTGCAGACGGCCTCAGTCAGCAGGAAGCAATACATGGCGCCTTATCTCAAACCAGTAGCCTACGAAGCTATTTCAACGAAGCAAGGAAGAAGACAGCAAGAAAACTGGAGCGAATTATGTGTATACTTTTGCCATCTCTGTCAACATCATGGTGGTCCAAAGAGGATATGTTTTGAATGGTAAGGTGACCCTAGAAAGTGTGTCCCAGTCCTTACCAGAGTCATCCACAAACGTCTGCAGCATCTTCTCATGCTTCTGGTTTAATCTTTCAACCGCACCGTCGTAGGGCGTGGTCTTGCTCACTGAGGTGCCGCGTTTTGTCTATAGAAGAAGGGCTGGGGTGGTTGGAGTTTTTGTCTCTGTGTGCTGCACTGGTGGAGCATTTAATTTGTCCTCCTCTGCAAACCATAAGGGTGCTATTAGAGCCAGCTTGGCAGCGGCATGCCCCTCCGCTGGGATCATGCTCCCTTTCTCAAAGGCCCATTACCTTCCAAAGGGAGTATCTGCTACAAGTTGCTGGCCTCTCAAACCTCCTCCTTCGTATTCTTCTATGGCTGAATCCAGTGCTGTTGAGACCCTCAATGCGGTGGTATAGGTCTTGGAGGGCTTCTTGGCAGGTGGGTACGGTTTATGGAATTAGAACTGCTGTCCATACATCTCTGGGGACATGTCGAATTTGGTCAGCAATCTTGCAGGTCTGTGTAGCAGCGGACTCTCTCATTGTCCTTCGTGGTGTTGGTCTCCACTGCCCTCCATGACAGCAGCGGAATGACTCGACATGCCCACTCCACTCATTGTTCAATGTCCTTAACCCACTGATATTGTGGAATTTTGGCTATTTTAGTGCCTCCACTCCTGACTTGGCTGGTCAGGTCTTTGCTAAAGTCATAAAAACAGGACAGATGGTGCCTCTTATGGGGCATACTTGGGCATATGCAGGGTCGCTTGCTTTCTGGGACGATTTGCAGTCGCTGTGTTCTGAGATGCAGCAGCGACTGGTGGATCTGGGGCATGTCGTGTCTGGACCATATTTGGGTGTGACTGGATTGCAGGTTGAGGCAACTGATCAGGCAGTGTAAGAGAAGTCTTGAGGCCTCGGTGCTCTGCCAACAGGGCCTCTTGAAAAGTATCTCATCAAGGTGAGTCGTTTCCCCTTGGTTCAGGTGTCAGGGCTGATGCTGCTGGAGCTGCTGGGGGTTCCTGTCCTCCCCAACGCTGTCCTCTGATAACACTGCTGTCTCCCAAGCCAGCTCTAAGCAGGCGGTCGAAATCCCATCATGCTGTTGACGCTGCTGGGAACGCAGTCCTGATCCACAAGGCATTACGATAAAATGTGGTCAGTCCAATCTATATTTTAATTCAGACTTTCTTTTGTATATAACTGGTTATTTTCCGGACATATTAATCAATATTTGAATGCATCTCAGTGGATCTTGAGATCACCTGAGATGCAATGTTTGTTCAGAGAGTGCCCTGGGGTGTGCTTATGCCTCCGATGTATCCGACTCTCGGCTCTTGGTGCCACCCAGGTAAATACTTAGTGCCAAGTTGAACCTACATTGTGGGCTGAGAACCAGCACGGCTGCAGTGGAAACACGGAAATTGGGTTCTTAATCAGGCCGTGGTTGCCAACAGACCCAGTAAACGCTTCTTTGGAAAATAGTATTGTGTGGTTTAAGGGACAATACAAATATTTGCACAGTGGCCAATCCCAACTATGTCATGTGGCAGGTTGTGCATGTTCCTTGTCATATGTTAGATGTCGATCAGTCTTTAGCAGTTTCACGGTAGAGGCTTTGTCCATCTATACATGTCAGATGATTTCACTAAAATGTTTAAGTCCCAAAAGGTCCAATTATATTTCTGTCTTAATTCCTTCTCTGTGTGCAGGGGCTTGAACTAAAGTTCATCGACTGTAACACTGAGGAGAGAATTGAAATATGCCACCGGAAAAACTAACAGAGTGTGATTTGTCCTCCCGAGAATAAAAATAGCCTTGATCCGACGACATTTATGTGATTTCTGCAGAGAACAGCAACTGTTTTTTGTCTAAACAACTGGCTCTGTCTCTGCCCACACACTGGTAGCGCTTAAGAGTGTGTGCTATTCAATTCCGGACAGCACATGATAAGATTGCTTTTAATCCTTGAAACTAAGGTAGCAAGCAAACACTACACCTTTGAGGAGGAACTAACTGTGTTTGAGTTCAACCCAGGCTGATACTCACCAACTAAACTGCCAATCAGGAAACACTGTAGTTGTAGGAAAAACCTGAAAGAATCAAAGTTTTTATGAGAAACACATACTTTTTATTTTCATAATCTGTCACACCAACATAATAAAGATGACATAAGATTGTGTATTTGTGTTAGAAATCCACAACACAATACATATTTCACACTAAGTCAACACTGTAACCTCGTTACTTTCTGTTGGTTTATTTAATAAATGCTATACATTTAAATTCTGGAAAATCTTACAAACTATACCTTTAAAGTAAAAATATATGTAAAACTGAATCCTAATGATATAGACTGACTAACAGACATTATTGAAATATCCATCATTTATTCAAAGTGTGTTCAGAAGCTTTCCACTTACAGTAATGCAGGGTGGCACAGCTGATTACTGGCTAATTAGTTGGCTATTTTATACTGTATATAATTAAGTATATATAGATATTTTAACAGTTACAATTATTTTCAATATATGCTTTGGAAACAGAATACTTTAATATATTATTATAAATAACATCATGAGTCAGTAAGCAATACGAAATGGTATACTTGAGAATATTCTGTGTATTTAATGCTTAAGAACAGAAGTGTCTTCATCTGAGCTAGCAAACAGTATGATTAAGTATTTGTCATATTAAATTGTAAATCGAAACTCATTTGACAGCACTGTCCCCAGTGAGCATCATAGACTATAATCTAATTCAGTGGAATAGGTTTCGTTTAATCACTGGCTTGTTTAGTTTCTTCAGAAACGAAACAGCTGCCACCTGCAGGTCAGCAGCATGAAGCAGGTCACAGGGGGAAGGACACAATCATACTGAATATTGGTTTTATTCTGCAGATATATTCAATCCAGCAGCATTACACCTTATTAACTGACATATACAATTACATATGTGGGTTATCATTGTATGAACATATGACAAAATAATCGAACTAAATTAAACTGTTAACAATTAAATGTGCTGTAAATTAAGGTTTTAGTTTATAAATGAAGTAATGTTTCTTACCATTGTCTGAAGTATTTCATGATTTTCGCTGTTTGGAAACTTAGTTCACTCCTTCTCTCTCCTTCTGTGAAGCACGTTGTTAAATGTCTGTGTTTACACTCTGTGAGAGGACACTTTATCAGCTGAGCGCGTTACTTTTCGACTTCCGGTGGAGCCTTCAAAATAAAACCGATTTGACGGATGACAAGTGATAATGAAACACAAGTTAAAAATAAAGAGGTCCTTAGAGACTTTACATATTCCATGTTATTTAATCAAAGTGTCATTCTGGTATTGTAAATGTTTTAAAGTAAAAATAAATGTGTTAATATAATTCGTGTTTCAGTCTTTTGTCTGTTGTAAGGACATCATTTTGTTAAGGATGATTATTTGTATCTAAATTAAATATTAAAATAACAACGAATTACTTATTATAATAATAACATGTAGCCTAGGCCTAATGGACATTGTAATACCTGATTGTTAGATGAAGAAAGAACCAGGCATTACAATTAAAATAATCATGCTATTTATATATATATATAGTGTGTGTGTGTGTGGGGGTGGGGGGGGAAGAGGGAGGGAGTGAGTGTGTGTGTGGAGGGGATTTCTCGCCGCTTAATACGTTCTTGCTTTATACGCCCTTTTGAAGTATTGTTTATTTTGTATGAGGACGGAACATGACTTAAGTATAAATAAATAAATGTATGAAGAAATACAGGAATAAATAAATAAATACGTAAATAAATAAATAAATACAGGAATAAATAAATACAGGAATAAATAAATGACGAAATAAATACAGAAATAAATAAATGTTGAAATTAATACACAAATAAATAAATAAAAGAATAAATGCATAAATAAATATGGAAATAAATACATCAATGTATAAATAAATAAATAAAAGTCGAAAATAAAACAGAACACACGTTATTATATATCTTTCATTTATTTCTACATTTACGCGACATACATTTATTTATTTATGTATTTATGTGTCCGTATGCTAATGAGGTGGGCGGTCCTAACCTCAGTCTGAAGCAGGATTCGCCAATTGTTGGAGCCAGGCAGAAGCAATAGATTCGTGGCAAGTCACATCTGTACATTCTGTGTACATTGTCGGCAACTCGCTAATAATGGCTTCGGCTGGAAGGGCGCTGGCAGACCTTCTGCGGGATGCGGCTAACCAGCTTGAAAACTGTAAGTGACTCATGTTTTGGTCTAGTGTAAGACTGATATGACAATGTAAAAAAACTGATCTGTGTGTTAAAATGCCAATGTACAGTTTTGTACCCAATGTGGCGCTATGTTATGTTTTGTGCAGCACCAAGGACCGCTAACGCGCCAGTTTCGTCTCCTCCTCCTCATCCGTTACATAACGGGACTCCCAGACACCCAGTGGACGGTAGGTCTTTGCATCAAATTATTTGTAATGCAAATCCGATCAGTTTACTAAGTTTATATCGCCAATGACAAGTTATTTGATTCAGTTTCTGTCCACCAGCTTGAAGGGATCATTATATTTATAGTGTGTGATGCTAACGCTAACCAACATTTCCCCCCTGGATTCTCGTTGAATCATTATTTCCTTGCACTCAATATTGCTTATCTTCTTAACTTGATCCTAGCCGAAGTTTCAAGACTGTTTGGCCCCTACATGGGAGGGAGGAGGACGGCAGGGCGGCAAACCCTTTCTGGTCCTGCACACCTGCATTCTTATACCCATTTATTCTGTTGCCTTGAGGACAAGAATGCAGCCTTAGTCCCCAACCGATACGCCAAAGAAAGACTAGCTGCTGCTGGCTTTGGTGAAAAACGGCTCACATTTAAAGGTCTGTCAGTCATTAGAATGACGATTATCAATCGCTCTTTCCTTTTCTGTCTATTTTTTATGGTAAATGTACATTTGTGATATATAAATATATTGAGTTACCCTTACAATCATAACATTATCTTTATGTTAGATCTCTTATGTGTATCATCTATTTCTAGGCAGCCATACAGATTCAAATGAATTCCTCGAATTCTTGATGGATGCCTATCCAAAACTGCGGAACGGTGGCGGTTTCGAGTTGCTAAAAATATCTGGCACTACGAGAAGTCGCCACTTGATTGTGATCCCCTGTCCCAATGAGGGTTACTATGTCAGATATTTGAAGGACCCTCAGACCCAGATTGGCCATTCTACGGTTTTCATTAGACCAATGCAAAGAACCCTGAATTGGACCCTGTAAGTTCCTCACTTCTATAGTGGTGTCACAATATTAAAGTGGAATCTGTGACTTACAGTAACATAATTGTTCGCTTGTGATGTAGTTTAAAACTATTTTGTTTACAGGCATGTCGATCAGAAGGCGACAACGTGTTAATTGGACCAAATCAGAAATGTGTCATCTGTGGAGAGGAGTTCCCCTTTTCCAGAATCAAGGATCACAGCAATAACTGCACGAGGTATTACTCTCTACAGAACTAAACATCACATTCGCCAGGCACACTGCAACTGCATGTGTAGACACACAATAACCAATAAGCATAAGGCTGTGGGATGCTGCAAATGGATGTAAAATATTTTGACATATCAGCACATCTGAGGTTTTATAATTATGGGGCCAGATATTAGTACTTTTTGTTCCAACAATCCCTCTGTAACACCATATTCTGCTGTCCTCTATAATACATTTAAATATGAAAGATATACATTCTGGATGTTGGTTTTGAGGAAAAGTAACATTTGGTTTACTTTTCATTCTATGTATAAGCCCATCTTTTTCTAGAGTGTGATATGTAATGTAAAGTATACTAGACCAAATAACAGAAATAACCTCTTTTTACACTAGACCATCACAGAGCAGCGGTGAGGTACAGATTGAGTTGACAACTGAAAGGGCCTCCGGAAGTCAAGTTAGATTTGAAAGCACGTTCACAGGAGCACAGGGAAATGAGACAACAAGGGCCAGGAACACAAGACACTCGGTGCCACCAGGAAATGTTGCCTTCTCCTGAGGTAGTTGACATCGATCCCACTGAGGAAAGTGGCTTCTCTGGTGTGTAACATCCTTTATTAAGTACATCATGTATTGCAATAAGTTGTTGCTCTCTACATTTCACTTGATCCAATATTAATTTGGAAACCTTTTAAACTATTTTTAGATTGGAGAATAGCGCCAGATCCCACAGAGGCAGCAAAGATGTTTAAAGAAGACATTTTAAGCCAGCATGCAACTGGAAAATCCTTGTGTCTTACTATGGATCTTGGAGACAGTGCAGCGGAAAGGGAAAGAGCAGTCCTTACTTTTTATAAGAAGGCAAATGTTGAGTGGGCTTGCCCCTTGACATGCACACTTAAGGGTAATTCGGTTACAAACAAAATCCAAGATAAAAAAATGAACAAACCATATTTTCGTTAAACTGATGTCTGTAGTGTGTGTTTACATTTTTAAGGAGATCCAGCCATTGGTGATGGTGTGACTCGGCATTTCTTTGCAACCATCATGTCAAAACTTCAGGCTGGTTTTGAGATGAAGTTTGGTAAGTAAATATTTACTATGGCTGATCGCTGGGTCTCAGCCACTAAGTTATGTGTGTTTTTGTACCAGTTCCAGGCTGAACACAGATCTGTCCCTTAACCCCAGAAAACAAAACGTATTCCTAAAACCTGAGTGATGTGATTGTAGCTGCTGTGAACATGTAGGTTTCTACAGGATCAACCAGTATCCAGTGGCGGTTTGATCATTCCTTTACTAATGCTTTGTGATAGTTGAATATCTATGTCCTTTACTTTACTATCAATTTACTTTGACTGTTTTCCTATATTTGCAGTGCCTGGAGGAACTCTTCTTTTTGAAGGAGAACAAGATCATCTGATTCCCTCCACTTCTCATCTCCTTTTGGAGAGTGACTTCTTTGTTGTTGCTGGCCGAATGATTGGACATTCATTCCTCCATGATGGGCCATGCCTAGGTGGACTGAGCCCAGCTGTCCTGCATGTGCTCTTTGGTGGATCCCCAGAAGAAGCCACAATAGATATTAAGGACTGTGTTGACCTTGATATCCGTGAGACAATCAAGTTGGTATGTTCAATGTTTTTCTAACCTATTTTATTATTCAACCTTTGGATATTATTTATTTAGCTGATCTACTTTCAGATACTGTTAACATCAAGTGGCTACACTTTGCACCAGCAGGAGTTACTGAAGCATTATAAAACACCATGCACTGATATATTAAATATCATTAGAACACTTACAGATGTCCTCCTATAAGATGTTTTTTGACAAAACATAGCTTTTACAGGTTACCAACTAACATGCTGATTATAAGTTAAACTTCTTATGTTGTATCAAAGTTGAATGTTTATACAAGTATTGAGAAATTAACGATTCTTATCAAATTCATTCTACTTGCCATTATTAGCTGGAGGGAACAGCAGAGTTATCATCAGAAGAAAAAAAGCTCATCAATGAGTTGGCACTGTCCTGGGATTTGCCTCTAGTCACATGTGACAACAGGAGATGGCTATTTGATAAACTGATCCTCCATGCTGTGAGTATTCTTAACAGGTCATATGAATCAGACTGACTAATCAGAGTTGAAGTTTTGAAGTAGGACCTCATTTTGGCATATCACATTTGAGCTTTTTTTAAAAAATATATTGGATGTTAATAGTGTATTAAAACATGCTTATTGGGCTATTAGATCAATCAGGCTGCTTTGCTTTTCTACTGTGATGCAAATATTGTGCAGGTCCTTGGAAGAACCTCCAGACAAGTCAAGCAGTTACGAAGGGGTTTAAAAGAGACACTGATCTGGCCTCTGCTGACGGAGAGGAAAGACACGATTCCCCTTCTCTTTCCAAGAGCATCTGATTTGCAGTGCACACCACGGGTAAGTGATCTCATGCTGCTCAGTCAAATCCTTCCTCCTAACTCACAGGAGTTAGAAATTGGGTTTATTTACTACTCTCAGACCTACATTGCTTTAAGTTTATTAAAACAAACATTCACCTACGCAAACATATTTTGAAATGAAATGATGCTACTTGCTGCTTAAAAGGAGCTAAACCAATAGAACAACTGTATCTTTAGACTACTCTGCTGCTACACAGCAAAACCTGCAGTTTCTTGTATGTTCTGTTTATTATTGTGCTTTCACTGGGCTCCTTTCAAAACGAAATCTGTCAGATGGTGTTGGAGAAGATAAACTGGCCCACACAGGATGAGGATGAAGACAGTGAAGTCTCTTTGGAGGATTCCTGTAGGCTCACAGGATTCCTGCGCACATTTATTGAGATGGGTAAAACAACGTCTTCAAGCTTTGTTTACTGAAAGTTTGTAATTATTATAACGAAAGCTGCGCTTCCTCTGTTTTTATCTTTAAAGCTACAGTAACAATCCAAGGCGTAATTTAAGTAACATTATTGTTATTTAACTATTAACTGAAAGCAATTATAATAAAATGAATTTATTCTCTGTTTTATAAAGCATCTCCCGTTATCCTTGGGAAACTTGTGCAGTTCTGGATAGGATGGAATGTGCTTCCTAGACATGGCCTGGATGTGACCGTGGTGGAGAGCAACTTCCCCAGCTCTTCCACATGCTTTCACCAGCTGAAACTTCCAGGACATTACAAAGAGTACTGTATGTTTGAAAGGGACATTCTTGCTGCTATTTGGAGCACTGAAACTGGGTTCGGGATGGTCTGAAGAGACGGACACACCTTAGTACTAGATTTGTTGTCTTTTGTTTGGCCGGCCAAAAATGTATGTTTTCAGAGAGGAAAAAAAACTCAGTTAATGCCTATACTCCGGCCAGTTTGTGTAACACTGAAAATATATAAAGATAAACATGCTTTCCTTGTTATTGCACATAACAAAGAAAGCATGTTTATCTTTATATATTTTCAAAGTTTTAAATTGATATTCGTTACAAAATGTTCATTAACTGTAACAAATGTATATTTCTTGATGCATTACAGTAAGTGTTGATTCACAACAAGCATATGTTCAGTGCAACACATGTTTCAAATGACTACTGAACGTAACTTCATTACCATCTAATTTTTATTGTATTAAAATCGAAATATACTGAATCTTGGTACCAGCGTCTTCATGTAACTCAGTCAAATATTGTCACCTAATCGTCCTAGTCGAAACTTTAAAAGACTACATTTCCCACAGCAACAGACTTTTGATACACACACACATTTACTGTAGCATTTCAGTCAATAAGCCCACAGTTTGTACATAGACATTCCACACATTGGACAGAGGGCCATCAGGGTCTGGAAGTCTTTCCACTTCCTGGTCAGTCAGTGAACGTTGCAGCTGAACTTCAGGAACCATAACATGAGGCAGGCGATGAGCACATGGTCCAGTCCAGTCAACTCCAAACTCAATGTCAACCTGCAATTGCAAGAGCTAAAGTTAGAGTCAACCAAAATCAAAGTTTTAATATATTTGTCAGTTAATTCATTTTATATAACCGTTTTGTATCATCTCCTGGAATTCCTGATTAATGTCTCATGAACAGCTGACATCAATCAAATCATTAGAGAGCAGAAAGCCCTGATGTATCATTATATTCCTTAACCGCTTGTTCTGGTTGATCACAGCATTTTAGGAATACCTCATAGAAGTGTTTAAAGTGCCGATGATATGCAGAATAAAATAATTCCATCACATTCAGTTTCCTCGACAACAGGCCACTATTTGTTACATTGTGAAACTATACTCACTTGTATTATTTGTTTTAAACAGTTTGTGTAATGACAGAAAAAGTGGGTATTAGTGTTAACATGGTCCCATGTAGGAAAGTAAAGTCAAAGTCAAAATAAAACTATTGAATACAATCAAACCTGTATATGTTCCTGCTGGGCCTCACGCTCATGGCGAGTCCACAGTTGCAGTGGGGACCGGTTTCCCTCAGTGCTTAGTCGGTGGCAGTTCCAGCCTTGCTGGAAAAACTGCAGGTGCTTCTGTATGTGGGGCACAAAGCACCAGTGCAGAGCATAGAGATGCACTTCACAGTCAGGATTGAGAAGGCCTTCTCTCTCTAGGTTGAAAAACATTGTGTAGAAGAGATCCAGCACTCCTACATAAACGTCTCTCCAGAGCCTTTCTATCCTTTTGAGGAAAAAGGAAGGAAAATATTTAGTCTGCTCAGTGAACAAAAAAAAAAAACTTACAAATATCACCTTTCACCTACCATAAATGGTAAGTAAATTTAGAATTGAATTACATTAATTAGAAGCTAAGTATTAACATTTTTGCCGATTTCAATAGGAAAATGTTCCTGATTAAGTGGCAAGTGCACAATAATGCCTCTGGAAAAAAGCTGGAAATTGGATTTAGCAAAAATCATTTTGCTTGAGCAAAGTTCATCAAACTTGGGTGAGGTTTTTATACTGTAAGCTTTGTTGAAACTGGATCAGGAAATATATCAGCTGAACATACTATGGATGTATAAAAAAAGACGGACTAATGCCATATTTATGCCACATTAACTGTTGTTGTTCAATATTAATGTAAGGTTCTCTTGACTGGAAAATACATTCAAAATCCAAGTTCCAACAGTAATTTGCCCGGTCATGCAACGTGCTGGGACTTCCACTAAATAGATGTTTGAAAAATATTGTTATCCTTCTTGTCAAATTATACAGTTGGTGTCATAATTATAGTGTTTGTATTATAGAAATATAACTTTTTTAGTTCTATGGTTTTATCTCACAGAGGAAGACGAACAAAAATACAATTAATAATAGCTAAAGACATATAGTTGACATTGCAATCTTTACCAAGGACTTAATTTGATAAAAGTTTGACTTGAAGTTTAAGGTACCTTTGATTATGGACACTCCTGCCAGCAATGTGTGAATTCCTGTTCTCTCCTCGGTTTGCCACCATGTAGCGTGCAACGTCAACATTTTCTCCACCTTTATCTGACCTCACACGTGATGGCACACCGTAGACATTGGCGGCTTCCAAAAAGCTTCTTAAAACTGTTGCTGCCCGATTGTTGGTGGCAGCACTCAAGTACACGATGAGACGACTAAAGCCGTCAATACCACCATGCACAACAAAACGCCACCTAAAGGGATATGTATAGGCACACATTAAGGTCAATCCACTAATGTATGTACAAACATTTACACATTTTAAAAGGTGCCTTATCCTACTAAAAGTTATAATTACAAAACATAAATCATCTTAATTTTGATAGTAAAAGTAATTTGCATGCAGAGGAATTTGGTGCAATTAATCATTTGATACATTTCATTTATATTTCTTCTTGCAGTGTTTTAACTTGTTTTTATGTCTACAGAATATTGTATGTTGCATTGTTAGAGGAGACTGAGACTTCAGATTTTCATAACCAACCAATAAAAAAAGCTATCATGCATATGACAATATAGCCTTTGAATCTTGAAGTCTGGTTTGCATTGAAGCTGATTGATTATAAGAACACTTTAGATGGTCCCATCTTTTGTAACTGTAGTGAAGTGGATGTTTGAGCAATGCTTGAGTGTTAATGATTATACTATACCTAATCAGTTTGTGATTTCCGTCGATGTGCCATAAACTGTTCGGTGCTGGTACAAAGTACTTCCTACGCCTTCTTGGGTTCAGCTGCAGAGTGCGAATCAAGACTCCACCTGGATCAACACGCCGCATGGATTCCTGGACACGCTGTCCTGTTATATTCGGGGAAATGCAGAGATATGGTGTACTGCAAGTAACATAATGAAAAGTAAAGCATTCCTAAATATGCCAGAATAATGTGATTCATTATCAAGTAGTAAAAAAAAAACACTGCATGGAGGATTATTATTATAATAATCCTTTACTTTGTATGCGTATCCCTCGTGCATTCAGGTACCCCACCATCATTTTGTATCCAGAGTTGGGATGATGCTGTAGAATTTGGGTAACAGTTTCATCCAAACTGTTGTCATCTAACAGAGTTAATAGATCTTGGACCCTGATCATCAAAAATAACGAAACAATAGTAAGTCACAATAAACAATAGTCACCTTTTGCACTGTACAATCAAAACACATCAGAATGAGTGTGTTGCTCTGTACTAACCTGCATTGAAAGATGTAGGTGTCATCTGAAACAAATGAGCTGGTCTCTTAAACCTCATTACTATTATTAGGCCTACATCATGTCTGAGGTAATGGTACCTTTGCTTTGTGTACAAAGCATGTTTGTATCTTTGCCCCGACACATGTCTATCTGATGTATTGGTTTCAACATATAAATGGCCTATTACCATTTTAATAAATATGTAAACAAGTAGGCTAATTTGGATGGAGAAAATGTAGGCTAATGAAACGTTATCATTACTAAACACAAGTTAATGCGTCTAACAAATGTGTACACTGATATAGCCTACGCCAAAACAATAAAAGTAAGGAAATCCAGACAAAAAACGTGAAAGAATGCGGATTAAACCTACCGTATCCCGTTCTGTGTCATCCTCCGACGAATTGTTCTTTCGCACACCCCGAACACCTGCGCGATGTCCCCAGCGGTGTGGCCCCAACGAAGATGTGCTTCAATAACGTTTAGGGGCAACATGTAAGATGGACGCCCAAGGGTCGCCTCCTCTGTTTCCGAGAGGATTTCAAGTTGGCGGGCAACCTCTTGAAGACTCTCAAACACAGCTGGGTTAACATCCACATCCATGTCGAGCTGAGCCAAGTCCTCTATACATCGTTCCACACGAAACTGGACATAGTCTTTTGGTTCTCCATTCTCTAAATGGTCCGCTAATGATCGTAAATGATCTCCAATGGCTCTTAAATCAATATCCATAAATAAACCTTACAACTGTGGATAAACCATGGATGTATAAAGATAAGGGCTAAACAGTAAAGCTCCTGCATTCGAATCAGCGCGGTTATCCAGGCTAGTAGTAGAGCCCTCTGCCAGAAATGATCACACACTCCTGTAACCAATCCTGCTTCAGATTGAGGTTAGGACCGCCCACCTCATTAGCATACGGACACATAAATACATAAATAAATAAATGTATGTCGCGTAAATGTAGAAATAAATGAAAGATATATAATAACGTGTGTTCTGTTTTATTTTCGACTTTTATTTATTTATTTATACATTGATGTATTTATTTCCATATTTATTTATGCATTTATTTATGCATTTATTCTTTTATTTATTTATTTGTGTATTCATTTCAACATTTATTTATTTCTGTATTTATTTCGTCAATTATTTATTCCTGTATTTATTTATTCCTGTATTTATTTATTTATTTACGTATTTATTTATTTATTCCTGTATTTCTTCATACATTTATTTATTTATACTTAAGTCATGTTCCGTCCTCCATAATTTTGAAGTATTTCCGGTTTTGTTCCATATGCAGATACATTGACGGATCTCCGCAGAAACGAAACCCAAGGACTGCAGCTCCATCACTTTCAGTCTGTGGAAGAGTGTGTGTGTGTGTGTGTGTGTGTGTGTGTGTGTGTGTGTGGTGTGTGTGTGTGTGTGTGTGTGTGTGTGTGTGTGTGTGTGTGTGTGTGTGTGTGTGTGTGTGTGTGTGTGTGTGTGTGTGTGTGTGTGTGTGTGTGTGTGTGTGTTTGCGTGCGTGTTTGTGCGTGTGTCAGGGAAATCATTCACTCTTCCGCTTTCTGCTATAATAAAGATGTTGGTGGTCTCTCAGCGTGCCCTGCATGGAAATAAAGTCCCCTCTCACTTCCTCCCAATGAAATGTTACTTATTGAACAGATCAGTCCTCCTGCAGCCAGCTGTATTTGTTATTAGATGATGGCAGGTGTCATACGGATCCTCACCTTCATTTGTGAGTTAACTTCATATTTTAATATTTATTTTCTGGTTTAAATTCAAGCATGGCTCCAGCTTCACATGTTCTCTATACATCAAATTCAAGGGCATGTGAATTACTTCCCAGGTGCTTTATAGAGCAATTCAAGGTATTTGGAATTAGATGAGCCTTAACTTGAGAGATTTGGTTTTTACGTATGACTGTTTTGTTTATGATGTTTATGCTCATGATGTTGACTCATAATATTTGGAGTCAGGTGGTTGCTGTGAAGTCACAGCCAA